ATGACAATCGATTGGATGTTATAGTTTCTAATTACTATAGGAACAGTGTGAGCGAACTTCTTGGATTTGGCGGTGGCAGATTTACTGCACAAACAGCTTTTATCACTAGTTCGTATCCGATCGCCGTCGTAGTCGTTGACTTCAATGCTCACAATAGGCTGGATCTTGCTGTCATCAACCTCATCGGTCAGACTATAAGCATATTACTTGGATATGAAAATGGAAGCTTTGGCCAACAAACAACGTAGGTAACCAGTTTGAAGTTTACAACCTAGATAATCGACTCGATATAGTTGTCCCCACCTATGGTTGTCATTGCGTTGAAATATTGTTTGGTTTAGGCAATGGAAATTTTCAAAGACAAACGACAACTCTCTCGGGTTATATCAATTATGCGTGGTCTACTATGGTGGCCGACTTCAATAACGACAACTATCTCGATGTCTCAATTGTGGATTGTATGCTGAATCAATTGGGAATTTTCTTGACCAGTTGTTTGCAGTGGCTTGACTGAGGCGAATTTTAGCTTGACTGTTTATACTAGCTCTTCAATTATTACATTTATTTTTTCGTAAACGAAAACGTCCATCCATATAGAACATAGTATATTATTCATCTCTTCAGTTTACGAGCATACAAATAAAGTTACAATACGAACATGTGTGTACGCGAAAGAGAAATCCACATAAATTGAGAATAAAAAAAATATATTCTACAATCTATCGTGTTGTTTTTTATTTTTGTATTTTTCATAAGAAAATGCAGGTTAAAGTCATTTTGAAACGTTGAAAAAGGTGAAAAATTACTAATAATATTCTTATCATAATTGCGCGTGTATTAAGCTATCATGAAACAATAATAAGCAAACGTAAAGTAATCAGGTGGCAGTATTTATGCATAGAAAATACTGTATGAAATAGATCAATGCAAGTCAAGTTCTTTACCACTAAATTCATTGCTCTCAATCAAAGAAAACGTTCACCCAGGGAAAGAAAAAGAAGGAATATAATACATATTTTACATCGATTATTACTATATAATTCAAAAAACAAATCATAATATTTTGCCTCGCGAATGTCAGAAGTATCTGGAGTTTATGTCTAGCTTAACATGCTCTCAACAGTTGTAGAACGTCTCATTTTCTGCATAGTTGAAACCCCAATAAATATTGTATTGAACCATGATATTCGTTTTTATTTTTAATTAACTTTAATTCATAGATTTCTTTCAATATTGTATTTCACTGTCTATTTAATCCAATGAAATAATTTCTTCTTTTGACTTGAACACTCCATGTTACTCACATTATTACACGAAATGAAATATTAAATGGACATAAACACATTAGAATATCAATGCATTTGTATACAAGATATATATATATATGACTTCTTAATAACTATAGTAATTGCATGAAAGACCTGCTTCGATTCTTGAGTGGTTTTCACTTTTGATATTTATACTTTTGTTTTATCGTGGCATTGGCTGGTAAAGTAAAAGTTTTATAGGACTACCAATTTCATATCAGTTTCATTTATTTATCTAACATTCACGTAACTTGAACATTCATAATTAGTTTTATATTTAAATGAGTTTCACGTATGATATGTGCCTTGTTATATCTCGCTTCGATGTAAAATATATGGCAGAAGAAGTAGAAAATAAAGATGAGTTTATGGTTACATTCTCGATATGCCGACGTAGTAGATACTTGATTTCGTACATATGTAATTATTATGGATAAGCTTTCTAAAAATTGATCTATACTGCTTAAAAAGGCTTTCATCTTACACTCGCTATGAAAAACACTAAACTGATTTTATTGGAGCCAGTTTGTTTTACTACAAAATTTTACTTGTATTGAATTGATGTCTAGAAAATCATTAAGAGAAATCTATTTTATTATCATAAAACTATGAATGACTATTCAAAATATCTGCCAGTACAAATTCTATTCCTTTCGATGGCGAAGATCAAGTTACCTCTATGAATTTCCAATAGAATTGGATTTTGAAGTCGAAGCAGCCCAATAAGTTGTTACAAACACTTCTATATTACACTATGCTTTTATTATTATGTCAGAAAGTATATAGTCACTATTTCTATCTACTCGTACATATCACGGTATCAAAAACCATGGTGGATAGTAATGTTCATGTTGTTTACATAATGATGGATACACTTTATCATGAATCACGAGGCCATCAGCAAGATAAGCTGCCCACCATCCAAATGTCCCACCTGTTACAATTGAATGTTGACAAAATGATAACGCTATTAAATCATCGGCCTCAGAAAATGATTTTGGTGTAAGAAAAACATTTGCTTGATTACGAAATAAATTTCTACAATAACGCCTATCATCACTAGCGACTATAAAAGAAACATTTGAATAAAGGTTTCTGTAATATTCAATAGCAGACAATAAGTATTCGTCGGATGATGCATACTTTACACAGAAAAAGTGTGAACGACGTTGTATATGAATTCCAATCCATGTTGTCCGTTTTGATTCAGCTAATTGTTTTTTAAATAATTGATGATTGTCCAATGAAAATTGAGGCCTGAAATTAAACTGTTGTTCGTAAATATTAATAAATAACTTTGAGACTTTTTCGATTACTGGTTGTCTCGCAACAAAAATATGATTCTGTAACTCATAGCTATGTTTGTGAAAATGCAGATATGATTGCCAATAACCTCTCAATTCAAATATATGTCCTAGAGAAATAGCATTCGGACGCTTCAATTCAGGAACATATTGACAACCAACACTTTGCATTGTTCTAGTAATCGGTGTTGCAGTATTATTGATGATTGAATTGAGCATGTTGGTTGAAATAAGCACAGGAGAAAGATCAAAAATAAATACTAGCTTCATTTCATTGATTATCGCTGGTGTTAAATACAAGTGACAAGAATGAAGACGAGCAAGACCATAAGCACTAGCGACCATAAACAGTTTATTACCTAGACGGCCACTAATCTGTTCGAGATACACGATACAAGCTGTATTACTTGTTCGTCTAATCGATTGTGTTAAATTAGACTGGTTTTTTGAATTAATTAGAGATGAATATGTGAAAATATTTGGTTTTTGAATATGCGTAGTTACAGCAATTGCTATTGCAATAATAGATAAAATTCCCAAACGATAATATATTGTTGATGAAAATTTCGTTTTTAGAAGGAGCACCATTTTTTTTCAGTACTTAGAATTTAACGATAAAATAAACAAAAAAATAGTGTAATTATCAAAACTAATTTGAATTAATTTCATTCAATTCGAGGCAATTTTCTTAAAAGATGATAGAATACTCTTTTGAATAAAAATCACATATATCGACAACGAAAAGCAAAGGTTGTTATGCATGGTCGATTTCGTTACCACAATGGTGAACGTTTTAATATGATGCACATAGAAAAATTATAGGAGCAGCGTTACCGCCATCTTTAGTACAAATGTTCACTTCATCGTTTCATCTAGTGAGGGACGAGAAAAATAAATACTGAGCAGAACAATGATAAGTTAGTTACTACCATTCATGATTTTCGACATTGTAACATTATAGTAACTGAGTGATTTGAAATATTTGAATCGATAGAAGATCAAGGTAGAACATGACTATTTATCATCGTCATAATATTGTTTCCTCATATTTTTTTTCCATTGTAAACTGTGTCTCAGTTTCTGTCTATTCATGAATGAGACGTCAAAATTATCCATCGGTTTTTTTTTGCTACTAAATCGATCAAGTTATATACTTTGCCTTTTATATACATCGATTTCTAGAATATGAATTTTTTATTCCGACCTTGATGATCATTTGTGGTACAGTGAAAAGGAACTCAATACTAAGAATGACACTGATGTTAAATTGATTGAAGGAGAAGATATTGATAATGACGAATATTCTAACTACTTCTTATATTCATTTACCGAACGTTCTTCTTTATAAATTGAGATTGATTTAGAGAAATTTTCGTAATCAACCTCTCTCACATTTTCATTAGTAAAATTACTAAATACAACACAATCGATTGACACGAAATTTAAATTGTACTAGAGCAGATCGATTGACTTTCCATTTAAATAAAAAAAATGAAGTAAAACAAAAGCTCCTTCGAATTATTTTTTACATTCGATATAAACTTTTATTGAGAATATTTTCACCGTACAGAATTTTATGAAATGCGTTGAGCAATAAATAAGCAGAAATGATACTATGAAAACAGAGTATCAAAATATTCGGATGCTTCTTATGGTTCCTGATTACTATTCAAGTGATAGAATTGTTACTGGAATACGTATCCAAGCGGGAATCATTGCACTTCTATGTACATGTAGAATAAAATCAAAAGAACCTTGTATACGTTTGTACGCCAAACTTCAGCGCATCGCAAAGCTATCTGGATAGATACAATTTAGGTGTAATTATCTTACGATTTACATGATCATTTTTTACGTGTGTAAACAATCAACAGATTCTAATAATAATGTGAGCTGAAAAATTCTGTCAGTGAGAATATGAAGTTTTAAAATCGTTTCTGAACTGATAAGAGTCGTGCAGTCATTTTTTTAAATTTTGTAAGACATTACTCGAAAGAATATGAAATTATTATAGAATAATAGCGTATGTGGCAAGCATTCGATCGGATATAATCGAACTAATCAGATTGTGTAGTTCAGATTCAATTTTATCCGAACAGGTTGAATTCAAATTTAATAAGAGAATCTCAGATTCTGTCAAAAGGAATTGATCCTGGTTAAAAAATATCTCAAGCTTTTGAGGAATATATGTCGAAATGAGCAAAAATAATTATTTATCCGTCGTCCGCTATCCATGTTAAAATTGATTTAACAGTTTTACTTTGTATTGAATTCAGTTTCTGTATAAAACTAAAATGATAATGGTGGACCCCTACTTGTTGTATCAGCTATATTTATTCAAAGAAAAGAAAAGAAAAGAAAAGCTATCATTTATTTCTAACAGTATATCTCAATCGATTTGTTTTGCTAAACGTTGGGATTCAGCAAAATACTCAGCAGCTTCTTGATCGCGATTGGACGCAACAAGTCTTTTCCCTTCATCCCAAAACAATGCGGATAAATCATTTCGTAGTTGACCAAACAATTTGTCTTCTGCATTGAATATTCCTTTTAGTTTGGATTCTACACCCAGTGCTTTCTTAGTTTTCTCAATATCGATGGTAAAAACGTAGGCACTATGGAGATTTTCTCGAGGTGATACAAGTGGAAGTATTTGGCGGGCAAATCTACCAGACATAATCGAAATCAGTTTCACATTTGGATAAATTTCCATATGATTGTTGAGTTGGTCGCCAGAATTAAAAAAATTCCATTTTGAAATAAGTTTTGAAATATTTTGACAATAGGACTTGATTGCTTGGTGTTTACCAGCCTCACCAATCTCGCTATCGAGCCAACTGACTTCGAGAGAGTCTTTCAATGAGTCTGTAACTTTCGACGACGTCATGCTGTCCTGCAAGCAAACGAATAACAATGAAAATAAAATGAGGAGTACACACATGTAAAAATAAAATACACTGACTAAGCAATGATTCATTCGTGCAGTGTTAAGTTTATAAGTCAATATACGAAGAAACAAGAAAAGCAAACAATTTTTTCTGAGAAACACAGTTGCTAATCAGTTTTAAGCGATTTAATGAGGCAAATGATCCTATCAAGTTGCATATAGATCATCATCGAAATTTTAAAAAGAAAGATGTGAATTATTCTAGAAACTTCCCTTGACTTTACTAATGTGATTTAATTAAATTCACCCTCGGAAACATGTTTTGGTTAAACATATTTTTTTAAAATTTAACTAATCTAAATATATCGATTGACAACTTCAAAAAATAGTTTTTCTATACTAAAAATGTAACCCGTTCGATTAAAGAAGTTCGGCAAATTATGAAAAACTAAATTAATTCAAATATTTTTTGAATTTCTGTCCTAATATAAAGCATTGATACTACGAACATATTTTTACATTTAATTATACCAACTTTAATTTTATATCGATACTGTTAATAGTAAATTGAATATGCAAAGTACACAGTTCTGTTTACGACAGTGGAGAAATAAATGATGAATACCCTCTTTTGCATGCAAAAAATATACTACTCTCAACCGATGAGACAATATTTATTCTTTAGTAATGCTTGATATATCATTCATAAAAGGTTGTTTTTATATTATTTTTCTTAATAAATATATATTGCAACAACATTATGAAACATACGATTGTCAAGAAGAAGAAAAAAACTGAAAGTAATCATATAATGTATGTTTTTGTTCCTTTTTTCTCAGCAAGGAGCCATTGAGAGGAATGAAAAAAAAACTTACGAGGGAACCGCCCAAAATGATTTGCCGCTTTTAAGTTCATATTTATGGGACATATAGGGGACCTCTAGACTAGAATAAATCCTGAAGGATTTGGGCCCATGCATATGTGAGGCTGAGTCATAACCGTTTTACTGGATTTTTACCCTAGGGGACTGGTTCACCTGCAAAATTAAATCAGTGAATTTCGACCTGAAATTTTCTCCATGAAGACGCCTAAGAGCCACTAGAATACACTGAAAGTTTCAGACAAAAAGAATGCATCCTTCTTAATATATTGAATTTTCAAAAACCGGCTATTTCTCGAATAGAATTAGCAGAACCGGAATTTATTGTGAAGTCAATATCTTAAGAAGGATGCATTTTTTTGTCCGAAATTTTCAGGGTATTCTAGTGACTCTTAGGCCTCTTCATGGAGAAAATGTCAGGTCGAAATTCGTTGATTTGATTTTGCAGGTAAACCAGTCCCCTAGGGTAAAAATCCAGTAAAACGGTTATGACTCAGCCCCACATATGCATGGGCCCAAATCCTTCAGGATTTATTCTAGTCTAGAGGTCCCCTATATGTCCCATAAATATGAGCTTAAAAGCGGTGAATCACTTCGGGCGGTTTCCTCGTTAGTCTATGATGAAATTACGTTGCTTGTTTAGTCATCGATTAGAATGTTTTATCATTAGATTTTGGATAAACTCATACACGAAAACAAAAATTAACATATTAGCTTCTGAATGGGTTCGAACCATCTATCTTCCGGTTAACAGCCGGTTGGGTTTCCAATTACGCCACACGAGCACGATACAATGATGTTGATCAGTTCTAATGAATCTCGTGAAATGCACAATCGACTTCGTGTTATAAGAACAACAGTTGAAGTTTCTAATTGGCGTTTTTCAACTGTTAGCTAGGAGTAGCTTCATATTTTTGAAAATTCTAGATTACATGTGAATCAGCATTTATTATAGGCACTATATCATGATGTAGACGATTAGGAAATTCACTATTACGCACTTGTATATTGAGGGAAAATGAAGTAGAATTTATAAATATATTCCAAAAGAGGTCGTTGTATCTTTGTCAAACCAATGTGTTGTAATGATTTTCTCAGTAGCTGACACTAGTAGCATTATATAGTAGTATTTTAGAGCGTTTGTTACTCTAAAGTGAAATCTTTCGTTCATCAATACATCACAATTTGGAATCATTAGTTTAATTCATTAAATAAATGATGCATATCATACTAATGCAGTTTCCAACTTGGTTGAAAATATGTTAAATTCAAAATTCAAATAACTATTTTTCATCAATGATTATGAGAAATATCGAGCTCCTTTCAATTATCACTGTGCTATGTTTAGTATACAGTGAAATATAAATAGAAGTAATTCTTTTGACTTTGATTTTCACAATGGGGAACGAACTGATTTCGTGATTTTAGATGATTTCGAATGATTTCAGCTTGATTTCAGAGATTGAAATCAATTTGTTTCCCATTGATCATCTCATTCAATGTCACGACAGATCTTTTGCATTAAACAGTCACATGTTGAAATAATACATCCTTTGAAGAAACAAGATTCTTTTCAACTGCATTGATTTCTTTCGACTGACAGATATTTTACAAGTATTTCTGAGGATTCTTAATGCGTCAGATAATCATCAGGTCTGAGCTTTACTCATTTGCTACCACGTAAAACTCTATTGTTCATAAGAAACGTGAATGACTCATGCCAATTGATTCTGACCGTCTACAAACCTAAACACCCTCTTTTCGTTTTATTTCAGATTTAAGTTAACATTATCAAGATGAGATCAAAGAAAAATAATAATATTACATATTGTCAAAAAGTCCAACTAAAGCGTTTGCAATCTGAAAATTTTGAAAAAATTAGTATTGATATTGATGATGATTTTATGTCTCATGTTTATCGCAAAATCGTATTCTAAATAACTTAGTCACAGCGCAATTCTGAAAAAAAGTAAGGTTTTAATCATAACAATCGCACTATTCTGTCGCACGCGCATTCAAATATGCGAATAAAGTTATGTTTAGACCTGCTGGATTCTACTTTGCAAAATAACTTGACTGATAAACAATAATAATATTAAAAAATCACTTAAAATTTTCATTTTTGACAAGAAACCTAGAACCTCGCATATACTTCGAGATTTCGATTTCTTTCGGAAAACGAAGATCTGACAATCGGGAAAATACTTAATTAATGCGCAACAAAGTACCCAGGTCGAAAAATCTGACGTAAGATCTTGCAATCCGGACGTTAGATCTTACAATTCGAACGAAATCTTATAAGCATAAGACAGAAAATCACCGTCTCTGAAATCTTGCATCAGATCATACGATATTTTCTTTATAGATAGCACATGGGATTTATTTTCAATACAAATTTGTCGTGATATTTCTATAGGTAACATAACCTTTGAAGAATCTTCTGACACGACTTCGTGTAAGAAATCAGAGACGGCGATTTTGCGTCTGATTGTATCAGATCAGATATGATCAAATGTACGCTTCTTGTAAGATCTTGCCGTCTGGTTTCTCACCCTGGGTATGCTCTATCGATTGCACATATCAATAGATTCCTATGTTCACGTTAATTTTTTCCGATTTTTTTCATCCGACCGTACAATGTACCAGCGAAATTCACCCTTCTACAACAACATTAGAAGAAATATGAAGCATTGCCGTGTCAATGTTGTTTAGTGTTTTTGTTCCGATTATGACTTAGCTACATACTTCCGTGCATTCTCAACTGTTCTGAACCGTAGAGATTTTATGTTGCTTTTCGATGTATTGAAAGTTCAAAACTAGAATACTGAAGAAAAATAGTAAACCAAAAAATTTGGTCCTCGATATACGTTTAACATTTTTTTTATTGGTAGATCTTGATCGATACTTAGCTCGATGAGCGCTTTTTTAATCAGCCGATCACTATACGACACAATGTGTCTGTTAAATTAAAAAGTAAACTGTAGACAAACGAATAGTACAAATTGTTTTTCAACGAAAGACACATTTGGTTTCCTTTTCGTACTGTACTGTACTGTAAGTAAACAAGTATGCATATCATCTGCAATATTACATAATAACATACTGCTACATATTATGCTATGAATTTTATATATTTATATTGTATTTTGTCAATTAAACGTCACGATGCATCAAAAAGGCAATGTACATATCGAGAAAAGCTTCTCTAGATCCGTTAATTGTTTCATTAATTACATAGATGCATTGATGTCTACCTGTTTAATGTAGAAGAAAAAGTCATAAATGGTTTGTACATTTTTCTATATACTGCGAAATTTAGTAGGAAGTTTTGAACTGCAATGGTCAAAACAATTGATGTAGTCGTACCAATCCGATTTTGAAGTAGCTATCTTGAAATTCATTTGCAAGCGAATATCATCAATTAATATCATTATGTTTCTAATGAATATTATTTATTGATTGTTACTATTTGAATCTATTTTCTATCATCAGCTGATTTAGTTAAAATCTAAAAGCGTTCTGGTTCAGTTTCGTTGCTGTTCTTGTTTTAATTATCTTCACAATTCCTTAAATGTAGGGGTGCTATGGTTCACTTTTACGTTGGATTCTGTTCTCAAGTAAAGGAGCCCATTTAAAAACTCGTTTTTATCGAATTTAAAACTGCACAAGAAGCTCGTGACGATTTTGCAGAAATCGCTACGCGTTCTGAGTTTCCTGGAACGAACTCGAAAACTGATACACCAATTGACATGAGAGCAAATATTGCCTGATGTTTCGTTGTTAGGATGACGACAGCAGAAAAGATGTTTCTTCAATGTACTCACGTCGAGAAAAAAGAAATCGTGAACGACTTCATCGCTGTTGTGCCTTACATGGTATTAATTATCTCGAGCGTAGGATAATCATGTGTTTTACTAAATTCATCCATCAAGCACGTTCATCATGGATAACTAATATTAATATATTTAGATAATGCTCAAGTGCATGACTTTATGCTTTGAAAGATATAGATATAAAATTTATATATGGAAAAAGCAAAAAATCCTTGCAGATTTCTTTTTCGCTGGATATCAATCAACTTTCAACTAATCTCAACTAAGTACATTTGATTTTAAAAATTATCAATATTAATATTCCTTCGCCAAACTGAATACTTCGTACATGCACTTGCTATATTAATTATTGTTTCTTCTCACGCGAACGAATCTGTTTAATATAGAATGCAACGATTGAATCTCCTCATGAAAGACAAAACGAAACAATATCTATTTATTTATTCTAGGAGCAGGGTTGTTGATTGTTTTGAACACTGGGAGGTGCTGAGAATTTGGCAGAAACTGCCTCACCTTATTTTTCGACAGAAACTAAACAACAAACGCTAAATACATAGATTGCCTGAGAAACCGCTTTAACAGAATGTGTTTTCTTCGATTCTCTGCTAAAAAAATAGTAATTAGTATTTGAACACTGCGTTTCTGTCATTAATTAGTATAAAGCTTTCAAAAAGTTGGCAGAAAGTATTAGGAAATTTCACAGAACACCTGATAGATTTCCAATTTTCAGGAGAAGATAGCCCTTACCAGCCCCTCCCTAATCGGGAAGCTCTTGCCTATAAGTAGCACACATGATACTTAAATTCAGAGACAAATGGAATAAGATCATTCTAAAACATAATGATATAAAAATTATTTCTTCATTTATTTTAACTGTATCTTTCTTCAATTTTTTATCGCAAAATATTAGCACTATTCTTATGCGCTCGCACATATCCATCTATTAAAAACCATGGCGGATAGTAATGTTCACGTCGTACACATCCAGATGGATATACTTTATCATGAATCACATAACCATTGGCAAGATAAGCTGCCCACCATCCAAATGTTCCACCAGTTATAATTGAATGTTGGCAAAATGATAACGTTATTAGATCATCGACCTCAGAAAATGATTCTGGTGTAATGAAAACATTTGCTTGATCATGAAATAAATTTCTACAATAACCCTTATCATCACTAGCGACTATGAAAGAAGCATTTGGATAGCGTTTTCTGTAATATTTAACAGCAAAAAATAAATATTGCTCGGACGAAGAAAAATTTAAGTGAAAGAAATCTAAACGCCGTACATGAATTCCAATCCATGTTGTCCATTTTGATTCAGCTAATTGCTTTTTAAATAATTGATGATTGTCCAATGAAAATTGAGGTTTCAATTTAAATTGTTGTTCGTAAATATTAATAAATAACTTTGAGACTTTTTCGATTACTGGTTGTCTCGCAACAAAAATATGATTCTGTAACTCATAGCTATGTTTGTGAAAATGCAGATATGATTGCCAATAACCTCTCAATTCAAATATATGTCCTAGAGAAATAGCATTCGGACGCTTCAATTCAGGAACATATTGACAACCAACACTTTGCATTGTTCTAGTAATCGGTGTTGCAGTATTATTGATGATTGAATTGAGCATGTTGGTTGAAATAAGCACAGGAGAAAGATCAAAAATAAATACTAGCTTCATTTCATTGATTATCGCTGGTGTTAAATACAAGTGACAAGAATGAAGACGAGCAAGACCATAAGCACTAGCGACCATAAACAGTTTATTACCTAGACGGCCACTAATCTGTTCGAGATACACGATACAAGCTGTATTACTTGTTCGTCTAATCGATTGTGTTAAATTAGACTGGTTTTTTGAATTAATTAGAGATGAATATGTGAAAATATTTGGTTTTTGAATATGCGTAGTTACAGCAATTGCTATTGCAATAATAGATAAAATTCCCAAACGATAATATATTGTTGATGAAAATTTCGTTTTTAGAAGGAGCACCATTTTTTTTCAGTACTTAGAATTTAACGATAAAATAAACAAAAAAATAGTGTAATTATCAAAACTAATTTGAATTAATTTCATTCAATTCGAGGCAATTTTCTTAAAAGATGATAGAATACTCTTTTGAATAAAAATCACATATATCGACAACGAAAAGCAAAGGTTGTTATGCATGGTCGATTTCNATTGTTGATGAAAATTTCGTTTTTAGAAGGAGCACCATTTTTTTTCAGTACTTAGAATTTAACGATAAAATAAACAAAAAAATAGTGTAATTATCAAAACTAATTTGAATTAATTTCATTCAATTCGAGGCAATTTTCTTAAAAGATGATAGAATACTCTTTTGAATAAAAATCACATATATCGACAACGAAAAGCAAAGGTTGTTATGCATGGTCGATTTCATTACTGTGCCCATATTGGTCGTACGCTTCGATGATTCTTCTTTCTCTTCCTTCTGCTCTCTCTCCATTGCTATAATCGTGTCTTCTTGATTGCGGGCTTTTTTTCTTAGTTGGAGGGAAAAAATGACCGCACAGTAGAATCGAGGGGGGGGAGACAAAATTGACCGCAAATTGGAAAATGTTCGTACGATGTAAATAAGTGAAAATAGTTACAAGAATATGGTGAACGCACATGGCTATTTGAGAAAGAAATTATCTCATTAGAGCTAGTCCAGTGGCGAACGTCACATGTTATCCAGGCCATTCCAATGCATGTGATTATAACTAAAGTATTTAAAGTGAATAAAAAAAAGTAAAATGAATTAAATCAAAATGTCGACACATAGTAACGATAGCTTTTCTAAAATTACCACACAATTTCGCAAGGATGCGGTAATGTTTAAAAATTATCGTTTTGGTTTGCGGCGAACGAAAAAAAATGGAAATCAAGTATGGGTTTGCACTCATAAATTATACAACGCTACCATAACCATACATGAAGGTTCCATTTTAAATACATCACTCATAAAACCTGATGGAAATCATGAATTTCGACATCAAGAAAAGATGTCTGGAAATGTATCTGAATGTATCAAATCTATCAAAACACCCTCTTTGTTATCGATATATCAAAGTGTTTGCTGAAACGGAAAAAGATGACTTAGATTATATACCTAAACAATGTTAACTGTTTTCTTTCTTTTCTTCTCATTTATGCTGTTTTTGTTTTCACCAATAAATTAGTATCTTCACTTCATTACGCAGACATTTTCCAATTTGCGGTCAATTTTGTCTCTCCCCCTCGATTCTACTTTGCGGTCATTTTTTCCCTCCAATTAAGAAAAATCGCCCGCAATCAAGAGTTAGCCGCTATAATATATCTCTCGCCTATATATACGTGTGTTATGAATGAAGTTGTTACACTCTGGATATGTGAAGAAATGAATAAACATCATTGCCGAGAGTGGCGATAAGCTACTCCACCTCTATCGAGTTTGTCTTAATAAATCAACTAAACAGGGTCCCGTATTAATCGTTGCAGTTACCGTAATGGTGTATGTTTTAACCCTAACAAGACCACCTGGGGTCCATGAAGACCCTAGTGAACTTGTTTTTAGTGTTGTACAGGCATAACAATAGATCAAATCGCTCTCATCCAGATATGCTCTAGTGAAGACTAGTAGGGTATGATGTTGACATCAGCTGTTTATCATCATTCATTGTTTACTAGATATTGTGTCGAAAAGTATAAGTAAACGCTTGTCGACTACCTGGCGTCCGGGCGGACCCCATATCAGTGCACTAATATTCGGTCATTTTCGACTATAATTTTGTTTTTATTTAGGGTTCCATATCTCTGTTATCATTTCTTTGAGAACATTCCAGAACGTTCTTATAAGTTGTATAGCGTGCAGATGATTATAGAACGTTTTAATTTTCACGTAAGATTACTTTCTGGAACATTGGGACTACCATATAAATAGTCGCGTATCACCATTACGAATACATTGTTGCGAACAGTATATATCCGGTTCTCGACCTAATTATTATTGTGAAACTTGTGAACGTCAATCACTGAACTTCAACATTAAAATGTTTTCAAAAACAAGATGAAGTCAAATAAGCGATCTGATCCTAATCAGTCAACACATTGGCATGAACTTACTGAAAACATCGAGGAAGACGCAAGAGATGAAGATAATGCGGTGACTGATGATCCGGAAAACTCAGAAATACCAAATGGTCTTGAAAACAGTTCAGAAGAATCAGATGAAAGTTCAATTGAAAATGACTCCGGTGATGAATCCGATACAAGTTACGCTGAAACTGAACATACTAGCGACGAAGAACCACCATTGGAAGGATCCGAAGTGAAAATATTTTCGACAAGATCTGGACGACAATGGACCGCAGAAGAGCCACCCAAACGAAAATTGTCACTAGCAAGCATTATAAAGCAGCGAATTGGTGTTGAACGACTAACTACAACTATTCAAACTGTGAAAGATGCCTTTCAATGTTTGATCACGAAAGACAGAATACTTCTTCTTGTAAGAGAAACCAATCGGCAGGCTCATCTGGCCATCAGACAGTGAAATGATCAAAATTCTGGTAACTAACATCAATGGAAGGAAACAGATAGCAACGAAATCTGGGCTTTCATCGGAATCCTAATACTTGCAGGCGTTCATCGATCCAAAAATGCAGATCTCAATGATTTGTGGTCGACAATCAACGAACGACCAATATTTCGAGCCACTATGGCTAAGAATCGCTTCAAAAGCTTGCTTCGTTTTTGTCGATTCGACAACATAGCCACTAGAGAGCAAAGATTGAAAGGAAATAAATTAGCCCCAATCAGAGAGTTATGGTTGATGTTCTTAGCTCAACTACGAATATGTTACACGCCTGGCGAATCTCTAGCTGTTGACGAACAACTTATTCTGACGTGTGATTGTTGCAACTTTCACCAATACATACCTAGCAAGCCTGGCAAGTATGGTTTGAAGATACTTTGGTGTTGTGATTCGAGCACGGCGTATCCACTGAATCGTGACGTTTATCTTGGGCGTCAATCTGAAACGTCAGCTGCAACTCAAGCTACAAATCGTATTAGTAATCTGGTGAAACGACCGGTGCGTCCATGGATCAACACCGACAGAACAGTCACCACCGATAACTATTTTAGCAGTGTAGAATTGGGTGAAGAACTATTGGGAATGAACACTACTCTTGTTGGAACTATGCGACGAAGCAAGAAAGAAATTCCACGATAGCTGCAGCCTGATCATCAACGTCCTGAAGAATCATCAATATTTTGTTTTGATCGACAACTAACATTGGTTATAGCTATGTACAAAAACAACGACATGCTGTGATTCTACTGTCTTCGATGCACCATAACAAGGTTGTCGACAATGAGCGAAAAAATAAACCCGACATTATTTTATATTGCAATAACACAAAACCCATGTGTTTCATTACGATGAAACTGCGGCGCAGTTACGCCGTAACTGCGATCGCACTGTGACCCGTAATTGCGGAAAATTGCGACGTAGTTACGCGCAACTACGATGAAAAAATCGCAGTTACGCGTAGTTACGGGGGAAAAATCACAGTTACGCATAACTGCGCCCAAGTTTTCCGCAATTATAGTTCACAGTGGCGTCGCAATTGGTACAAAAGATAACATAGATTAGGGTTTCCTTTTATTTGTATTTTTATTGAGTTTAAAAAATTTTTTGCACAAAAAATGAAAAACAACTATAAAATTAAAACTTTTATAAAAAATAAAAAACAATTTTTAAATTAAAAGTTTTCACAATAAAAATAATTGAAAAATTGAAATCTAGAAAAATCTAAAAATTTACTAAAATAAAAATTTTTAAAAAAATTTTAGTTTAGAATTTAAGGAAAATTAAAAATTAATATCTAGAAAAATTTTAAAATTAAGATCTAAAATAATTTTTAAAAATTGAATGTATAAAAGAAAAAAAAATTTGAAATAATTTAATGATAAAAGAAAAAAAATTTAATTGCAAAAAATTGAAAAACTAAAAGAATTTTAATCTAGAAATTTTTAAAAGAAATAAAAACTATGCATTTCACTGCTTGTAGTAGAATGACTTATGAACGAAAATGTGATAAACACCACTATTTATACTAATTTTCTGTGACTAAGTTTTATTGTTCGAGTGTAGCCAATTACAAATAAGGAGGAATAATTTGTAATTGGTCATTTATACCTACAACAGATCGTAGGATGCGATCACTAGGACGCAGTTACGTTGATCTGAGTCATACTAAGCGTAGTTTCTTGCAGAAATCTTCACTACGATCAATGCGCCATAGTTACGCGTGACTGCGACGCAGAATTGGCTCTACGCGTAACTGCGGCACAGTGGATAAAAAAGAGGCGACATGGGCTATTTATTGGTAAATTCTTAACTGATTTTCTCAATAATTGTTTTATTCTTGTTATTATAAAATCATTCAATATCAACAGCAACTTCACAGCTTGAGTCTAGTCCTACAAGAAGTGGTTGCGATTTCAGGAATGATGCAACAGAAACAAGTGCTATGGAAACAACATCTAGTTATGAAAAATTACCCATCACAACACCAAAATTGAAGCAAAATATTTATTATCAAAACAGTCAGCAACATCAAAAATAGTTAAGCGCCTTATCAAAAGACCTTATGGTGTTAGTGTTACACATTTAGATGTTTTTGGTGAAAATATTATGATGCAATGAAAGAAACTGGTGAAAACAAAAGTTATTGATACTGATGAAATTTCTAAAAACAAATTCAAAGAAAACGAAAATTTTAACAAAAAAAACAAATATAATGTCTAATACTGATAGTTTACAAATACTTTGTTCTATGAACTACTCTTCAGCACAATCGCATTATCATGATCCTAGCAATCTTCATTTTACATCATGAATTGATTAGCAAAACTTTCCGTATCAATTATTTTCTCATTAACCGACTACAAATGTCCTACAAGAAATTCAAAATCTATCAACATCTAACGGTGGTCGTTGCTGTCAATGCTTTAATAGATAATTTATAGGAGGTTTTTGCTCTTCATAGAATTTACCAATATGCTGTTCACGTTGGTCTAATGAAACTTTTACTTTCTATCATTGTACGAATTTTCGTTTAGTCAATTATACACGAGAGGTAAAATGAACAATAATTCTTATATTATTCTCATTGATCCATGTGTTAGATGTAATATATTACAAAAAAAAACGATCTTCTTATTCTCTATTTTTTATCACTGCTCTTAGTTTTACAGAAGTCTAGTTCAAAAAATTAATGAAATAAAAGATTCTTCAATTTCGACAAATTGTTGATGATAGATTTGAAACATCGTAGCAAAACTACTGATGCATACATGCAATTTCATCCATACTTCATAATTGTTTTTCATTTTGTTCTAATGATGCACGATTTTTAATTAAAGTGATTTGGTATGAAGTTGAATTCTTCCAGCTATTGTGACTGAGAGTGTTCGTAATAGCCCCGTGCTATACAGCAAGTGTTCATAATAACTCGACGTGGAGTTATCATGAACAGACTTTGAAACTACTAGCAAAACAGCGGATGCACAAGTTCTTGAAGGTAGTTGGGCAGGGTAGAGAATAATAGACAAAGGTTGCTATATTTGTACGCACTCGCCACGGTGAGTCATCGCCGTCAATAGATAATTTCAGGTTGTGAAAAGAAATATTTCGCTGAAAGAGTTTTTGGCATATCACTTTTCGCTTTTTTCTTCGCCGAAAGGATTTTCGCTGAATCAATACCGGTTCGGTTGTATTATTCTAGGTCTTATATTAAAGAGAATCTCGATTTTGACATCTACATATAGTCGTGCTAATAAAAGCATTTTTTGATTTATCGGAAATGAAGCCAATTTAATGAAGAATATGATAGAGAACAAAACTACAAACATCTATGATTAGTGAATTTCAATCTTGTTCGTCACCCAACCACATATCCACACACATTCAAGATTTTCAAAAATAAAAGCACTGCATAACTCGAATAAAGTCGGTTTTATTCTTGTTTTCAAATCACAATGTTGAGTAAAAAAAGTCAAAAATTAAGTCTATTTGGCTGCACTTTGAGCAGCTTTGTGAGCTGCCCAAGACTTGTAGTATGTATCGATTTCTTCGACAAAGCCAACGTGTCTAGGTCGCCAACCTAGTTCGTTCATAGCCTTGGCTGGATTGATAATCCTATGCAAAAGGAAATCGATACTTTTTACTTTGTTATTTCTGATAGAAACTTACGAATCTGTATCCCATCGCGATGGTGTATCACCATCGGCTGCTTTGTATTCAATCTTTTCCTTTCGACCCTGAGCTTTTGCCATAGCTGTTCGTAATTCTTCGTACGTCGGATTATCATTCGGAGCAGCAAGGTTGTAAACTATAGAGATAGAATATAATGTTCGCACTTTTCAGTTTTTTTCCGCATAAATCTTACGTTCTCCATCAACGACGCTACGAGGAGCCCTCACTAAAGCAACATAACCTTCGGCAAGATCATCGACATGAACCCAGCTCCAACGCATATCTCTTCGTCCTTGGATAACTAAAGGTTCATTATAGAACAGATCAGCCACGAAACCACCTTGACCACCATAGACAAAGCCTGGTCGTATGACTGTAGTCTTAAGTGAGGCACAAGAACTTGCCAAAACTTGATTTTCGAAGTCTTCTCGTTCCTTCATATTTGTTACATCAGATGCGGAAGCACCGGGACGAGGCTTTGTTGGTCGAGATTGTGGCTTGATTACTTCATCGACTGGACGACGACCAGTTGCAGATGTATCACCATCTAAACAACACATAAAATTAGAATAATTCAGTTTTGAATACTTTTCCATTAAAATATACATTTAATAATATTGAAAATTTAGTGTTTTCACAACATTACTTACAGAAGTTATCTAAATGATTTCATAGGTATTCAGAAAGGTACACACAAATAAAAAATTATTCAAGTAATTTATTCGTTTCTAATAGAATTTTTTCTTCTATAAATGACTATTCATAACCCACTAATGGCATCATTTTTTAATAGGAAGCAAATATTTACATGTTTATTCAGAATATTTTGTCTTAATTTTATAAACGACTTCGAAAAGTTCATATCTCTATTGAAATACATTGCAAACTTACAAGTCATGATGCCCGATGTGAAGACGAACAATGGAGCATAATGTGGTATTTTTCCGTCGTTTGTTCGTTTTTTTCCAGTACGAAGAGCTGCTTCTAAAATTTTAGGCGATAGTTTTTCATTGAATCCAACAGCATCAATGATAATCGAACATGAGGCTAAAATATCGGCAATTTTTTCAGCATCTTCGAATGACGAGGCTACAATAGGTTCGATTTCATTTTGAATAAGTGTAGCAGAATGTTTTTCATTCCGAATCATTCCATAGACTCGATAACCAGCACGACGCATACCTAGAGCTACACCTAGCCCAATGTAACCACTGGCACCATAGATAAACACAGATGATGACATGTTTTTAAATGTGAATCTGAAAGTCAAGAGAAAATCATTTAAATTCTCATCCTACGGCACTTTTTCTCGTTTACTAAGTAAGAAAATTACTTTCTGTTTTACGCTTATTCAATGCTTTAATCTCTCTACAGTTAAGTCAAACTGTCATATCTACTGAGGTATCATCTTTTGATAGAATCAAGATGATATGCATTGATGAATGTAACGGCGCAACAAATAGGTGATAGAAAAGGACAAGTAAAACTTCTTTTCGTTTTCGCTGCATCTCAACAGTTAATGTTTCATAGTTAATCCTACCATTACTTTCCGAAATCATTTAACTAGTCAGCAATCTATTAAAGTTTCGTGGTACTTACAGGTTAATACTAATCGTTCATTTGAATCTTTGAAAACGTACTTTGAAATTCGATAAACTATTTTCTATAGATCAATAAACAGATAATATATTGAAACTTACTAAAAATAAAATAAAATCAAGGGTACATGACAAATCCTTGGTATAGTATAAATGGAGTAGACACCACTGCAATTCTATTCTCTGTTTGGCGTAGATTCTTTAGCACACACAAAAGCATGTCCTGTCGAATGTATGTCTAATCATATTGCAGAAGCTCTGTTCTTTTTATGCTTCTTTCGCTTTATGCATCGTCATCGTCATGACACAGATAGAATGTGATAGGAAGAAAAAGCCAACTATTTTTTTCTTTTTTATGTCTGCGTTAAAAAAAGCAATATAAGATTACCATAGATTTGATAGCGTCGACATTTTTTCTTTTGCTCTGCGCAAACAACGTAGGAGTAATGTTAACTTCGTTGTCATAAAAACGAGGAAGTGATTTGTTGAGTCTATGATGTTCTTTAAGATCATATTTTTTTAAGTATTCATTTAATAATTTATTCTGAAAATTAGTGCAAACCTATTTCCTCCAATATTTTGACAGCTCTGTTATCTTTATCAAGAGAAATACATCATGAAGAATAACATTAATTTCTTCAACTAAGTAAGAACTTAGAAAATTTGCCATGTTATACATCGTTCATTGTCTGGTATTTACTTCTAGTTTATTAGATTATCATTTTAGTGTATTCCAATGATTGATTGTATGCGTTGCGGTTTAAAAAAAATATTTCTTCCTTTTCTAGTCACAATTTAGCCTCTTCATTCGTGTATAAGTGTTTCTTACACACAAGAATGAACTTATTATTCCTCGCCTACTCGTTATATACTCATCTTAGAACGAGTGAGGAGAACGATAAATATTAGAACGAGACAAAGCGAACGAGCAAACATTGAACATTGAGCAAAATAGAAGTATGCGCTAGGCTAATCGATGATATATGGCTATGAGAGCCAGTAGACGATGACATGATGAGTAGTATATGTATATATATATATATATATATATATCGAAGAGAGAAGATTAAAGCATATAACATAACACCCGATGAAAGGATACGGTTGGAATAACATGTATGAACAGTCAACTCCATAAGAAATGGATAGTATAAAAGATGACTAGAACTTGACTGCTCTATATATTCTATGATATTCGTAGTGTTTGTTGCATAAGAATGAGAAATAGCAGCTACCATTTTACAAATTGTTTCTGGCAGATTTTCTGCGAACAACAGTGTGGCAAATGATAACGTGTGTATAGGCTATCTACAAATCACTCGCAGAACCAAGAGACCATTTTTTAAAATGCAGATATTAATTTACTTTCTAAACAATATATGTATATATACTTAAAAATCAAAGAAGAATGTGTACATGTTCTTTTTTCATTGGATCATAGGAGTTATTAGTTGCTACCATTAAGAACAAGCATACAATAGTTTTGAATATGAATGCAATTCAGATGATAAACAGTTCTCAGAAAGAAATAGTTAGACAGTCTTCGGAATTTTTCTACAGTCGTCATGGAAATTATAAAGCATGAAATCGCATAGTTGTATCAATGAAACACACTACAATTAGTGGGTTGACTACGTACGTATACGATAAGTGAACAAACTGAATTTGAGATCAATATCTATATTAAAATAAACTTTATTTCATATTTTTCTCATACAATGAATAGACATAATTTGAAAAAATACAAAAAGAAATGATCGATGAGAGACAGGTAGTGTAGAATAAAATGAACAGTTATCAATACATTTAAACAGACAGTATTGACAGTTGACTATTGAATTCAAAAGTCATGCAAATGTCAAACGATTGATTCAACCATCTATTGATGCCAGATTGCTGTTTATGTCACGCATAAACTACAGTACTATCATTTCGTAAAACTGGTCTATTTTGTACATTGATATTCCATAGAGGACCATGTTCATGAAAAGATGGTAGCTCTAACTTTTCGAATGTTGACTTAGGTGTTGTAAGCGGATCATAGAATTGTTTGGAACTATTAAGATAGTGCATGCCACTTCTTCCATTTCCATTGGCACTGCAGGCATGAACTTCGCAAAGAGCATCATCACTAGTATGATTATGCACATCATCATTAACACTTTGCCCAGCAGCCCACAGTTGCATGTAGCAAAGATGTTCGTCATTATCAGAAAAACTTATTTCAAAGCCTTTCAGGTTGTAAAATTCACAATCTTTGAAGTTTTCTTTCGGTTCATGTCGATTATTTTTGACAAATTGAAAAACAAGTTGACGAACTTCTGGAGAATAATATTCTGGTAATGGGTTCGCAATAGTAACTTTTCGAATATCGTCGTTTCGTTGAATATTGTGAACAATCATCATGTGTTTTAAATACAGCCAAAAGTAGTCCTTCAGCTCACAGAGGAATGCACGTGAGTGATTGACCGGTTGATGTGGGCTTGTTGAAGAATCAGTCCACATCATCCTGCCAGAAAGAACCTTTATATAGGTAGTGTTATCGGCATGACGTGAGCTATAAGGTGGTACAATATCTAATGATAAAATTATTCCATTGATTGTGATAAAAGCCACTGTCTGATATTTCAATACTTGGTTTGGTCTTGGTACTCTAAATAGAAGATCATGATTATGTTTGATCACTTGTATTTCTGTGTTAGCTAGGAACACTGTAGCTAATAGTAGCGGAATCAAGTACATTATCATAGTCAAAATCAACAATGGCGATTCTAGCAGCAGAATCATCGCTAACTTTCCATTCAGCGAATAAACCATGTGTAAGATTGATTGCCTTATAAAAGTAGACACCCTGACTTGGAGATGGTTCTCAAAGTGCAACTAAGAATTCATCATCTCTATCTTTGTCAAAATCACCACAAGCAATATAATGAGCTGAACTTTCACCATTATCATTAGGATATCCATAAACATCTAGTGTATATCTTTTCCATTGAATATTTTTTAAAGAATTCTTCGTATTTTTAACGTAAGCTGAAATTACATTGCCATGAAAAGGTTTGATAGCAACCATGTAAGGCAGAGGCTCATTTTCGATTCGTCCTACATCAATGTCTCCATTACACCAGTATATTGCCTGTGGAATTTTTTCTTGCTCACCATCTCCAACATGCTCGATCTTCCACTGTTCTGATTCGGGATTGAAATAAAGCCAATTGATACCTTCGTATGATGCAATAAGAAGATTATCCAATTGGCCATCATTGAATATTGTGGCATCATGAATTGCATGAAAAAATTCCTGATTAATTATTTTGCAAGACCATTCTGTAGCATTAAATACGTTATCAGGCTGTTGACATAGTAGTACCGGCACTGTTGAAAGCAATTTCCTCCTTCAAAATCACTGCCCAGAAATGTATTACCATATCGAAAGCAGATAACGATGTCACTAAGTTCATCGCCTGATATATCTTCTTGATTCATACCTTCAGGACTGTGAAGGTTTTGAATTATAGTAGTTTCTCCTAGTTCTGATTGAAAGAATGAATTTTGGTAAAAATGTATGTGCCCGCTGCTAAGTCCATGCGCTATCAATCCGATTTGGCTTTGATTGCTCGCTCGAAATGGTTAGATTCAATATCCGCCTGGAAGGTTTCCTACAATTGTTTTCTTTTGAAAAATAGGACTGTAACTTCCATCATCACCATTTAATTGAACGAGAGAAGTTTCAATTATTTGTAATGCCTATCATAAGTGAACCTATACGATTCGTATTTGACGTGTTTTTTTATCTGGCAAAACGATGCATATATTAGCTTTTATCATTCTAGATCGTAAGTAAATGAATAAAATTTTCGCTCTACACCTCTTTGAACATTTTATGCGTTTTGAAGTTTTGATGCTTAGCAAAATGTGAAACATCTAGAATTAGATTTTATTTGGTATTGATTTGTTTAAATATATTTTCACTTGAACATCATACATATTAAGATTCATGGTCATACGAGAAAATGCACATTGATAGTAATGTAGAGTTATTTGTTCCATTTTTTTCGACTGGAAACTCAGGTTATTGCAATAGCTGCAAAGTTTAATTTTCGAAAGAAATAAAATATATCATTCTCAATCTCGAAATAGATGAATCGAACTACTCCTAATACATATGTCTGAAATGCAACACAAATATGAATGTAAGCCGCCACAAATCAGACTAATATGAAACCGCTAAATTCTATAGTATCGCAACATTCTAGATGTCTTATTTACAAGTATTTCTAATCAACCAATGAAATATATAAAGATTTGTCATTAGTTGCAATAGAAGCTGCGAAACCAGCAGAAGATTTATCGAATTCAAATTCATATCAAAATAATCTAAAAAGACATAGATGCTAGGTTTAAGTCATTATTTTAACATAAAATATCATACAAGATACCGGGTGACTCTAAGTGAACAAAAACAAAACTTTATTCGACATGATCATTCACTTGAATGGCCTATATTGGACAAACTCATAGCTGTCATCCTATCAGACATTTTTTGATATTTAAATGGTGAACTGTTAGATTTTCGCCACTTGTTCATAATCAGCATCTCTATTTTAAATATTAATATAGAGGCGGTGTCCTATGGATTTATCACAAGACTTACATATTTCATCTTATGGACTACTTGAGAAAATTTTATTTTATAGAAAAATATTCATTTCGGGTCATTATTGAGTTATCCAAAAGTTCCTTTGTTTCAGACAGATTCTATGATTTTTTTTTATGTTTACCCGGTTCACACAGATCTTTAACTATGTAACGTAAGTTCACAATAATAAAAATGCATACATTTTGCTACAAGACATTTTCGATAGTTATTTTGTTGGTTGCATTCATTGACAATACTTTTGAAGAAAAATATTCATCAAACATTTCTTTAGCTTATGTCAAATCTATGGAGATTGATCCGTCAGTTCGCATGAATGAAATTTAGCTGTAGTCTATTTCTATGACTTGAAATATCCTACGTTTTCTAAAATCTACCGATATCGACAACTGTTGTTTACCTTCGAAAAATTAATTTTCTCGATAATTATACAAAAGAATCTCGAAGCGTACCAAATCGCATTTACACTTCCTACGCGCTAAAATTTTTCACCCGTACAGTCTTATCATGACATCAATCTACTCGAAAATATCAATCCAGTAAAAGAGAAACGAACTAATATAATTGAATAAAATCAAGGCAATGAGAGCGATACAAAAATAAAGAAAACAGTAGTTAGAAAAAGTTCATATAATCCCTAAAAACTGAACATACTATTATTCTTCACCGAGCATAGTCAATTCATGCAATATGATGTAAAAATCGCTAGTACGTTGTTGACTAATATCAACAGGTTACCGTCTGATGAAATCAAACATGTTTTACTGGATCTAATATTGCTCCACTGATGTCCCAAAAACAAAATCGATTTTATACTGCATTCCATGTCGATTGTGAACTATATTGAGCATCGACATCTGTTGAGACACCACAAAATATTCCTTTCATAAAGATAAGTCCTCAATGATTTAAGGACTTTTTTTACGGAAGTACCCAATATCACTAAATGATGGGGACGAGGATTATTAATGACGCATACTAAATACCAAACATTGCTTTGTTTTTCTATCAAGACTTATAATATTTATTTTCGCACATAACCTTTATCGTCATATCGATAGGTTTGATTATGTTCTTTTGTTAGTAATCTATTATACAGAAAAAGTTATATTATCTTCACTTTTTGATAAGGTTTTGGGGTATAGGCACGAAAAACTAAAAGAATTAGATTTATGTGGGTGGGGTTGAACCGTGGAAATAACGAAAGAAAAACTTTCTTTGCAATGCATACGTATATAAATACGAAGTGAGTTATTCGTATTATTATTCATACAATCATGAAATCAAACGAGAAAATTGAACAAGGACGTCAAAATTATGGCTATATCACTGATGAAAAAGAGACAGCGAAATCAACACATGCCGTTATTGAAACGGGTCTAAGTTTTCATCGTAGTATGAAATCGGGCAGTCAGAGATTTCGGTGGAACCTTGTGTTTAATCTTTTGGTTTGGCTAATTGTACCACTTCCATTGTGGATACCTTTTGTCTCTAACCGTGTTGCATATTATCTACTACCATCGATTCAAGGTGTATTTGTTTTCATGTGGACTAGTAAGTGTTCATTTTTCTTGTATCTCTTATTTCTAGAACGTTTCTTTTCGTGATGTATAGTTATTGCTATATTAGCTTTGAAAAATGCCTTGATTTTGTATATGAATCGTTCTCGTAATTTCAATGACGATTATTCTGGTTATGAGAAAATACCAATTCGTCATATTGTCGCGATTAGTTGTTATAAAGAGCCCGTTGATTTAATTGCAAGAAGTATTCAAACATTGGCAGAACAAACGGAAGTACATCGAATAACAATGGTCATATCATTTGAAGCGCGAACACCGGATAAAGAAAAGAAATGTGAATTTCTTCAGAAAAAATTTCAAAATTGTGCCTTCGAACAAATTATATTTACGATTCATCCACACGGGTTGCCCAATGAAATACCAGGAAAATGTTCAAATGCAAATTTTGGTCTACGCAAAGCTGTCAAAGATATGGCCATAACTCAGAATGAAATGGACAATGTTTTAGTGACAACATGTGATGCCGATTCTAGATTTCCGCCACAATATATTGCCGCACTTACCAGTAAATATCTCAAAGAAAATCGTCCAGCACTAACTACAATCTATCAGTCGCCTTTGTTTTACAACTGGAAATTAGATAGTTTATCATTTGTTACTCGCGTAACAGGTTTGCTACGCAGTTTTCTCATGTTAGGTGCATTGATTCCATTCAATATTAATACGATGAGTATTTTCTCATTTTCATTGAGTCTGGCACAAAAAGGAGATTTCATTCATCCTGGCTATCAAATGGATGATATTATTTGTCTTATTCGATGGATGGGTGTAACACAACAGCGATTGCGAATATCTATGATACCTGTGCCAGTATTGAGTGGACCAACATCAGGAGAAACTATTGAAAAAGAAATCATAGAATGGGCAAGACAAGCACGTCGCTGGACTATTGGAGCAGCCGAGGTGTTCCATTACTTCGTTGTGAAATCACGACGTATGCCAATAGTAGCTGCATGCTCTTGGGGCATCGCTTTTCTTATTTATTACGGTGTCTTATTATGCACTGGTGGTTTGTTTGGTTTGACGACAATGTTGTCGATGATTTTTCTTGTCAAACATGTTCCACTAATTATTTCCTATATCATGTATGGCCTATTTGCTTTACAAATGTTAACATTTTCAATAGCATTCGTCATCGATATGTTTATTCCCAAACTATTGCATGTTGACGAATGCATTTGTTTTCCACGAAATTTATTTCATTTCATAACAACACCATTTGTCCTTTTGGCCTATTCATTGGTCGAATTATATGCATTGCATGAAGTCGTCGTTTTCGGCAAAAAAGTATGTAAGCATGGTTCATCGGTAAAAACGGAACTCTCACAAACTAATAATATTGCATAGTAAAAATAATAGCTTTGTAAAGTTTTATCTCATCATATTTAGTAATAAATTCTCACTATGATAATAAATGTATCAATGAAATCATCTCAGGAGATTTTTATTAGATTTCACACTCTTCTTCAAAATCAATGTGGTTCACTATTTTGCTTTAGGGTAAACGCCTAGCATTGAAATAAATTTTTCTTTGCTTCGTGTTTTTTTTCGCTCTATCATAATCTCATTTTGTACTGATCGCTGATACAAACTAGTTTCAGTTGCATAGAACTCTAATATTGAAATACAAATATGAGAAAATAAGGAGTTTCTAACTCATTTATACACATGCTGTATCAAAAGAATCGCAATGAATATGTTGTGTTATTGTTTCTCTCACTAATTACCCGAGTGTTTTATTTTCTTCGATCGATATAATAAGATTCTAAATCCAAAATAAACTATGACAAATATTGCTTTATTTAACACAAAAACTACTATAGTGGCGACGAAGTTGCAAACTTTATTTGAAACTGGTGTGTGGATGTTTTTCGATTATGTGTGAAATAGTCTTAGCAAAGATATGACAATTTATCATTTCATTTTTATCCTATGAAATATAATTTAGAAACCTAAGTAACTATAATTGATCAACATTATTTTTCGATTGACAGCTCATCATCGATCATTCACTACACTGCATTGAGGCTTGTATAAAATAAAGGTCGTTCGTTTTTAAATGCTAATTCAAACGTTTCAGTGACGTCTTTTAGTCAAGTTAAAAAACTTGATCAGAAATAATCAGGTTCGAAGAATTCAAACCATTGCACGAATATGCTTTCTATCAGAAATCGTTACAATGTTCGTTTAAGGTCTCCCCAACGTTCAAAAATCGATTTCTACCCAGGCATATTCAAATCGCAGGCAACTTTGAACTCATAGTAGAGCTAATATGCAACACCAATGATAATAGTTTCAACTTCGAAACACAACGCTTGAGGGACCAATGGTCAGGCCAGGGTCGAAAATTGCTCCTTTGGTTTCCCAAAATTTTCTGCCCATATATATTACATATCTTAAGTTTTATTTTTACTTGGGAGAGTATGTGAGGATGTAGAGCATCACAGAGTCTCTTTCTACGCGAAAAAACACTGTCGTAACCTGGATCTTTCTGCAGTCTTTTTAACAAAATAAAATAAAAATATGTAGCATATACCTGGATCGGGATCTGGATTACGCGTTCCAAATATCATTAAGTGAGAAAAAATGAAAAAGATTTATAGTTGGAAATTTTCAAGAATATTTCAGGTAGAATGAAAGAAAATAATGCCTAACAGCTGTATATTTTCGGGAGTTGTGTATAAATGCAGCATCTGATAGCGATGATACCACAAATCTTATGATAGAAGAGGGAATATTTTGAAATTTCTGATGTAAGCACAAAAACAGATCTTGACAAGAATGATAACATTAGCAACGATAAATATAGCTTTTATAATCCAAAATAAATATAAAAGAAAGTGAGAAACACAAGAAAAAGTAACAGTTCATTTACCTTTTTTTGAGCTTTGCCAAATTAAAGCTTTCTGTTGTTCATCGAATGTTTTTGGTCTGTCAGTTAGTCGACCTCGTATTAACACCTCTGAATTTTATTCAACTGTTGAGCGTCTATGTAAAAACATCAAAGTCCATTTTTTTCAGGAAACATCCTATTTTTCAATTAGCTGATTACAGAAATCATCAAAACTTCTAGTTAAAAAAGGAGTGTTTGAATAATGAACTAAATATATTTCTGCAAGATCTGCCGACGGGCTATGTTGTCATGAAAAATTCTCGATTTCTGAATTTCTGAAGCAAATCAACTTTTTTGGGGATCGGGGGAGCTTAGCTCTACTTGGCCAGTTCAATCTAAACAAACTCGCCATGTTTTTAATGTAAAGATGAATAAACTCTATATAAATAAAGACCAAATAAAAAAAGAAGAATATCTTTTTTCTATGATATTAATATATATTGAAATTGTTCTTAGCAACTACTGATTGTTTCAATTTACTTGAGCGTACAAGTGTGAGTAAGCCTTTGAGGAATGCGGACCTGTTATTTACTACACTTGCAAATTCATATTCCTAATTTGTGAGCGTCGTTTCTATTAGTATGCCTATTCTAATATCGAAAACATCATCTAAATTATGCAAACCTTCTAAATATCACTCAGTTTTATGCGCATTTTCAAGATGGCAGGATGTACACAAATGAAAAAAGTTGTTTTTTAGTTTTTTTGCAAAAAATAGTTCATTGCCAGTATATTTTCTTTGAAATAAGATGTGATTTCGATGAGTTCATCTTTTTCCTGTTGGTTTTTCGTTATACCCTGTAGCAGGTACCGTCAAATTGGGCAAACAGTTTGATTTAAGTTAAGTTTAATATGATTTTTCATTACAATTGTTGAATCTGATCGATTAAATATTGTCTAATTTCATGATGACACAGAAATAGATTAAGAATATTGCATAAGGTACTAATTTGAGCTAATACAAAGAAAAAACCGTATAGAGCTGAAAAAAGATATCCGTGGATGTTAGACGCTGCAATAATATAGATGGGTGCCCATCCTCCCACATGAACACAAAACATAAATGCCATTTGTTTCAGTAGGTAAACCTCACGACGACGAAGTCTTTCCTGTCTCGATCGAATTGGGTTCATCGAAGCAATTCCACCATGTAGTCGTATTCGACGAGTTGATAAACAAGCGAAATTGAATATAACACTATTAGCAATGATTGATATCAACGATGGAAAAATAACAATGACTCCCAATTTGTAATATGGCATCCATTGTTGTGTAACACAGATCTACGGAGAACAAAAAGAATGAACCTCGCATTCTATAAAGGTGAGAAAGAAGTATAACAATATTCAATGAGTTACAGTGTGACTACAAAGCATCCCACAGAATCTTTATCCGATTAAAAATTGAACCACCGTGAAAGTGTTTTATGAATATTTTTCTTTAATTATGCATCATAAAAAAAGAAATAACTAGCTACAGATATTTTTAGATGAGTATAGATCAAATGCTTACCGATAGGTTTTTTGAAAGTAGCATCAATGGTGCAAGAAGTCCCATTATCAGTTGACTCACAAGACAAATTGCAGCCCAAGAATTCGCTTTGAAAAAATCCGTTTTAGAACAAATCACGTACAATAATCTATTGACAGAAACGACAACCAATGAATATGACATTTGACAACTAAACATCATTCTTGTATAGAATATAAGAGTACATATATTGTCGCTAAATCGATACATAATATAATATTGCAAGTATGTTATATCAATCAACCAATATATGCAAGCGAACATTGTTGTCAGGCATACGTTCAATATAAAAATATTAAGACGTCGGAGAAGTATGCTTATAATGGCATACATCAATGACAATAGAATCGCTATTATAAGAATAATAATTTTGAGAAATTGAAGAATAGATAAAATTTGCACCATTTTGGTTACATGATATACCTATGTATGAAGAAGAATATTAAAAATATGCATCAATGTTGTAATCAAGAATGGAAAAGTTCTTGGAAAAAAATTGCAATAGAACGAAATAATAAAAAATAGTTTAATTGACAATAAAAAAAAACTGAAAACGAAGTCTGCGCTAATTAAAATATTTTATGTCAAGCACTCATTTTGAGAAGAAAGAGGCAAGATGTTTCCTTCCTCCAGTTATATTGTGACTTTTTATGCTGGCAGTTGCAATTGGAAAAAAGAAAGAAAAAGTATAAATATTTCATTTCATACACACTATTGTCACTCTTAGGCACAGAACAGAAAGCACTTTGACTGAGAACATTTGAATGAGAAAAGGTGATGCCATATTGCAGTAGCGCTGTTCTCTGATTAGAAAGGTTAATCTCATCGTAATTGCGCATACACATTTGTCACGATATCTTTTAAACTTTTTCTTGGCGCACCAAGTGCGATTTTTGATCGGTGGTATAGCAAGTTGTATGATCTTAGTTTCGTCATCATCAGCTCTTTGTTTAAAACTCGCATCCAGATGAATATAAACAAGATTTCAGAAATCAATTTGTCATACATGATTTTTCAATTTTCTGCTATTCACGCAATTCTTAATTGATTGTTGTAAGATAATTATAATGGGAACGTAATTTTAATGACATTACCAGTAATAACATAAATTAAAGTACTCTTTAGAATATTTCTATCGCATGTACAACAGATGTTCATAGAAAACTGAGAGATGGTAGCGAATACACTAAGAGAAGCAATCGTAGAGAGTGAAGAAGGAAATAATGGAATAAACAAACGAATGATGTTTGATGTAATCAACATAAAACTCGCTGGTTATGTTAAGCAATTAATACAAGTAACTTTTACATTTGATAAGAAATAGTATCTTAGATGCCTATTATATAACAAAACAAAGTAGAGATTTTCGATTTTCTGTAATAAATTTGAAATTTTTCAATACAAAATATACTACTATAATTCACTAACTTCAAAATTTAAATCCCTTCTCAATGGTGTACCAGGAATTTGAAAGGTCTGTATAGCATGTATAAGAAGCATCACATTAAGTTCTAAAAGTATCCATGTCGCACAAACCGACCGAAAAATTCCGGTTAACTGCGAGAATTAGACAAATATCTGATCGGTGACATAAATCCTCGTTTCAAGCGGAAAAATGTCGTTCAGGTCAAAAATTTTTGCGAACTAAACTTATGATAAACACATTAAACAAATGAACAGTAACAAAATTTGCCGTTTCCTCGATCACGTCACACCACGGTACAAATGGATTTCTAGTGAATAAATGAAATATCATTTCTCCTATAGGAGAAAAGTGCTTCAGTTTAAGATCGAAAGTGACGATAAATATTTGTGGCAGGTGACTTTGGAATTTGGTTGAGGTTGGAATAGTTTTTTTCTTAATTTTTTTAATAGAATTTTTGTTGAGATATGACTTTAGAAATTTCGTTATTGAATTTTTAATCAGTGGGGACATGGTGACATTGAATTTAGTTGAGAAATATTTCTTTTATATTATGTTTTCTATAATCTATTATCACTAGCAGCAAAAACAAAAATAAAAATAAATTTTTTCGATTAATTATTGTGTTCGCGCATTCCAATCTCAACTGAAATTCTCATGTTAACTGTGGCATCTATATTCGCTAGCAGAAAAATGAATTTGCAGCTGATAAATGAAATATCATTTTTCTTTCAGCAGAAAAATGTGTTGATATGTAATTGAAGTGGACTTACATTTTTTCGCGATAAGTGAGAAACGACGCTGGTAAAAGTTACAGTCGGTTAGATTATGGCTTACTTTAGTTAAAAGAAAGATCGGTAAATTTGTATGAAGATGGGGCGCCAAAAATCATTTACGATATAAGGGAAATCTTTCAGAGTTTTGTGATGATCCGTGATGAATGACAAAGAGCTGGTAAAAAGTTTGTTTTCAAATAATCGTTGGGAAAGAAGAAATGTAAAGAGCGAAAATGAAAACTACTCATATTTGGTGTTTGTAAAATTGTGTATAGCATCAAGTATGTTGCATTTACACGGATATCTTTTCTGAACAGTGGCGACAAAAGTATTTGATAGAAATTTAGTATACACACGCTGACTTGTACTTATAAAGCTTGTCTTCTGTTATAGACAGAACGGAACAAATTCATTTTTGACCTGAACGACACTTTTCCGCTTGAAATGAACATTTATCTCATCGATCGATTTTTTGTCTACTGCTGAGGGAATAGGATAATATTCGTGAAGTAACAAAAAATTCAATTACTCAAAGCTTCAGTCATCGAGCAGTTGAACAAATAAAAATAGTATGAAAACTACATGATTTTGATACATAAAAATGTTTTTAATGAACTTGAAATTAAAATTGAAGTTTCATCCTTGTAAATTCGAAAATTTTGAAACGATCTCTTAGAAATTGATTAAGTTAAATATGGTGGATACAATTAGCTCAACAAAAATTTTATGACAGAATCTGAATTTCACAAGGGACCCATGAGTTGACCGAGAACATAAATGAGTGGCGACGAACCGATTGAGTTATTGAAATGTTGACACTCAAGATTTACGAAAATTGAAAACTTCACTCTTTATCGGTGAACTGCAGAATTTCGTTACGCATTTCAATATCTTCAGTTAAGCTGTAGAATTTTTTTCTTCTATAAAGGTAAGTGCCGACTAAGCACAGAACAATAACGAATATCGAAGGAATAACTGTCGCCAAGATTATTTTCATTTGTCCATTTTTATTTGGCCTTTCCGACGAAACATGAGTGCTTGTAATAATACTTTGTTCAGTCGATACAAGAGTACTCGAAGAGGTTAGCGTCATTATTGTCTCGACGCTAGTGGTTTGCGTTGTGGTGCTAAGAGAAGACAATGATGTCCACTCGGTGAATGTCAAAGCAGTACTATTATTTGAAAATAATTCGCAAAATAGATCTATACTTGTACATTGCCTACTTAATTCATCTACGACTGATTGATTGTATAGACAAATGGGGCGATGTTCTGTGTCATAGGAATATATAAAACAGTTACATGAATGATCAATGTCCACAATTAAAATTGTCTTATTCAAAATATCAACAATTGATTTGGTTAAACAATAGTCATTGTCAGTTAATCGGATACCGTATAGAATGATACGAGGTCCTGGTGGATAGTGCCAATTGATAGATGAATCTTCACTATTAACATCCGTTTTTCGATAAAGCCAACTTTTTTCAGTCATCTTGACTTCAGAAAGGTCCAAATAAAATAATGCTTGGAGCTTTATAATGATAAACCAATTGATTTCGATCAAATTTGTACAATTCGAAAATGATAGACTTGAAATTGTTGATGAGATAGGATAGAGAAACGAACTTGTTTGCTTCTCGAATAGTGATGTGTTGGATGACAATGATTCGTTTGTTTCAAGCGATGAAAGTCGATTTCCAGCCAAATTTAAATTGTCGATGATCGTTCCATTGAATGTCATTGAATCGATAAGCTCGATTTGATTGTAACTGAAGTCCACTGATTTAAGTTTATGTGCTTTTTCAAATATATTTCCATCCAATGTCTTTATTTGATTGTAGCACACTTTCACTTGGTCTAAATTAGTCATATGTTTCAGTGGATTCAAATCCTGAAGAAAATTATTTGATACAACGAGTAAAGTCAGCGATTCATTTAATTGATATAAAAACGATGTTGTTTGATTGTCAGTTGTTAAAGTTTCAAGTGATGTTAGACGATTATTATCCAAATTTAATTCAGTCAAACGCAATCCAACAAATGAGTCGGGTTCGATGTTTCTTATTCGATTATTAGACAAGTCCAATCGCCCTAAACTAGGCATATTGTTGAATATATTTACTGTAATTTCTTCAATAACATTATTCTTCAAATTAATTGCACGAAGATTTTGAAAATTTTTCAACGAGGGCAATGCAATCAAGTGATTCGATGTTAGATCCAAGCCAGCAAGACCAGTCAAAATACTTTCGATAAGAAGACTAGAATTTGCCAACGAACAATTGCTCACTGCTATATCGATGAGTTCGATTGTAGACGATCCATTAGAAATAAATTCCATATCTCCACAATTTCGTATGTTCATCTGATAGAATCGAGCACCGTCCATCGACTTCAAATTCAATTGATATGGAAGCTTGTGTATATGACTGTACTGTATACTATCAATATCTACTTCATAGTATGCTCCTCGGCCAAATGCATAATCAGCAAGTTTGAAATTTTGTGGTGAAACAAATTTTATCTCGATCGATGAATCGGAATATTCATGGAGTGATTGAAAAGCGTTCTCTTCTATTTCGTCCATGCCATTAATAAATGTCAAATCAATCGACTCGCCATGCAAATGAAATGTTGATGAAAAATTTGTAAAAGTTAAATACGTTAAGCGGGTCAAATTATAAAATGTGAATGAACTTTGACGATGATTTGCCGAAACGAATGGTGCCCAATCTACGAAACTGTCCTTTATTGAAGTTTTTCCAGTGCAAGAAACAAATGACGTGTCGTCTTCACAATAGCAAGTCAAAACTAAATTGTCCAAACAAACATTTTCTAATTTCGTCCGATTGATAATTGAGATCAACTGAATAATAGAGAAAACAAAATTTAATGCAAACATTCGTACAAGAATTTATTTTTAATTGAAACAAACCTTGACGCTTGTAATGCAGAAATTATTCTTTATCTCTGCATGACCAACATAAAATTTGCCAGTAGCCGCAGTCATAAAGATGAGTCATGTATACAGGTAGATAATGTTCATTTCAATAGTTGCAAGGACGTAATTGTTGCACTACCGCACTACATGTTGCTTAAAGGTGAGGGTGACACAAGTTACGAGAAAACAAAAATTTGTTTTTCACAATAGCCAATACTATTGTCCGTTTTGAAATATAGTGCACGTGACTTATTTTTTGAATAATTCAAGAACGCAACTATCTTGCGAGTGTGAGTGCGGGTATGCACCAATGAAAATGATGCAGCAAAACGAGCACACCGATCCACACTTATATCCTCGAATACGGAAGGCAAGCGAGAATGGTCGAAATATGAACGATGGAATCAGGTTCAGTGAGAATATTTATTTGAATTTTCTTTCATTAAGTTCCGATTGAATGAGAAGAGATCTATGGAGATTTTGTTTTCAAAAACTTCTAACTATTGAAAAAGCAAGTCTTATTATTGCAGTAATTAAATAGGAAACTAGTAGCAATGATTGACCAATGCATGCTTTATGTTTTAATCAATATAAAATGTAAATTAAAAAACCAAAAGTTACTTATATGGTTATTGTGAGCTTTGAAAAGTGAAGAAAATGAATGTATGATGAAGAGTTATATAATGAAACTGTTATATCGAGGAAATACCATTGATTAACTTGTAACAACAGAAAGATACGTCATGCCATATACGTCAAACTTGAATTCAATTGAAATTTTTAACTTTCAACTTTTAAACCAATAGTATCTGAATAGTATGCAATTTTCACTTTCCTCTATAGTGCATATTGTTGTTCAATAACACTTCATTGTGTTTCACATACATACAAAGACATAGCATGGTCGCTTTGCTCCATTCTTTATTTCGTGCGAAGAGCATTTTGTAGTTATTCTAATCACTGTTCTATTTCCTTGATGTAACTTTACACAGGCTTCGAAAACATAACAAATGAGAAAATCTTTAATTTACCAGCTTTATCTTAATAAAACTGTGGAATTTTTAGAAATTTTAACTAGGAATCTTCTGGAAAAGAATTTAAGTTGAATGGCCAAACGAATAAGAGAAATATGGAGAGAATGGTGGATATCCATATTCTTAAAATTGGAGCTTTTAGCAATTATTACACAGAGTCACTCAGTATTAATACCGAATCGTTTACTATTGTTAATAATTCTTGGCACAAGTCGTTCACTATGTGATCGACCCCCATCCAATATTCTTTTGACTTTGGCGTTATGTTTTATTTAGACTAAAACAAGGTTCAATTGGTTTGGTAGAATAATTAATAGTCTGGACTAAATTCTGTGGAACACGATCTAAAAAGAGTTTGACGTGTACAGCACAGAAACATGGATCTATCACCATCTACACACAGGATATGACTGTAACACCCTCAAGAAAGCAATTGCATCATACTTAGCATTGTTAGCCCTTAGAAATTTCACTCACAAGTGTCTCGATGGTATCAACTACTATTGACTTCAAAGAAGCTGATTATGCTTCGTATAATTGAAAAAAAAAGGAAATGACTTCTGAATGTCACATTGAGTACATATTTGTCGCATATATTGTGATTCACGACACATTCTGAGAACATGCTTGAATTCACTAGCTACAATACATTTTTTATATTGTTTATTAAACAAATGATGAAAAAGTTTTAGATTTTTATTTTATATGATCGGTTTATTCTTGAAAATTCAAATAGGTCACATGTTCGGTTTTCTACCAGACAACTTTAAGATTGGTTCACCTCGATAAATGACCGAGATGAACAGGCTGTTGACTAATTAATAATTGAGAAATAATCTAAACAAAAATTTTGTACAAAAATAAATTGTAACGCTCAAAGTTAAGCGTGACTGTTATTTTGTCCTTACCGCGGATTTTGCTCTTTCTCTATGTTTCTTTTTATTTATTTTGAATATCGTTTACGTTTATACTTAGCTTTCATTCTCTTTCTTGCTCTCGGATGGTTGAGAATTTAAATGTGTGTTCTTTGTGTAATCGGCACGATTCATAACATCAAGAAATCAAATAAACCATAGTTCCATCAATGCAAGCACTTCTTCTGTCAGAAATCGTCACATAGACAAGTTTTGTATATTCAATCGAGTTCTCCATGTAGAGCCTTGTGCAAGAAGTAAAGCATTTTAAACAAAATAGTAAAATACTAAACTCTCCGCGAAGGGTTTAGTATTCTACGATCTTCTTTTACCATGAAGGGTGAATCGATACTCCAAAACCCGACTCCAACAGAGTCAGAGTTACCTAAAACAATTTTTTTCCAAGTAAAAATCCAAATCAACAAAAGATTTTTTTGTCAAAAACAGAATTAAAATCGGAGTCGGAGTCGGAGTCAATAACACTTAACTACGCAGGGCGCTGGTCGTCACACAGAACGAAACAAATTTGTTAGCAGCAATTTCTTTTGAGACATATTTTCGTCGTTGCATCTGCGACACATTTTAACTTAAAATGTGAAACTTGCTCATAGATGAAAACTGTACATGGAATGAAATGAGTAATAGAGGAAAAACCCATTGAGTCATGTACATTTACCAGTATTAATCATCCTACCGTCAAAAACAAGCTTTTTCCTATTGTGTGAGTAATACAGTAAAATAAAGTGTACTTTATTCCATTTTGGTAACTCAAATACAATATTTTCTTTTCACTTTTCACTTCTTCTTTTCTCTTGTTCCTATTACACTGACGTAATCAACGAACATTTGTTTAAGTCATGCAACAATACTCGTCTTGTTCATCATTGTTGCAACGTATTCACGATCAACATCTTCGAGAAAATCGGAAGTTGTACATAAATTCTATTCCAAAAATCTTATGCTACGTTTGCATTTATTTTTTGGTAATGCTCGTATTTCGATGTCCGAATCGAGTATACAATGCATGGAAAGGTCCATTTCCAATGAAATTGAATCAATTTAGAAATCATTTAGAAACAAGCTATAAGCTATTTGGCTATCAAGCATTTTTATCATCTCGTTTTTTTTTCACTGATCCTGAGTACGTTCAAATTGAGCTGGGTAGGAATGCCATTGATCAAAATATTAAAAATACAATTCGAGTGTTTAATGGTCATTATTCGGATGGCAAATTGCAGTATACACTCAATCGTGTTCTAGAAGGAACTATTGATAAATCAAATATGGTATTGTACATTAGATTTGCGCCGCCTGAACACTTCTACTCTGAAATACGTTACCCATATGATTTTCAATCCTTTAGCACAAATACACTAAGATGCATTATTCAGCAGCTGAACGTTTCATCGTCAGAATTCATGCAGTGGTCTGAAAAATCGATGTATATCAAAAATATTGAAAATATCTATAATCAAAATCCAAAAGAATTCAATAGAAAAGTTATCATAAAATGTGGTATTCTAATCGGATATCTTTACCGACCGACAAATGAATATTTTTTTCCGTCATATAAATATGAAGCCTATCGATATCACGAAGATCTTCGAATATTCAATGCTTCATTTTTCTATACTCCTTCATGTTCCTACATTCTTCTCTGCATCATCGTCTGTCTTCTATTCAAAGATGTTGTATATCTCGTTGTTGCCGGTGTTACTCTTATATTTCCGCGATTTCAAATTGTACATCGTTATACTCAAAAACAAATGAAAAAAGCAAATATAGACTGTGTAAATCAATTAGACCAACTTTTATTACATACAACTAGTGAGAATAATCATGGGAATCATCTGTTTTTAGTAGATAATGAATATCTTGCTGTGTTAATGGTAGATTTAAATGAATACAGGGAACCCATTCTTCGACAATTTTATGAAGATACCCCAATCAATATTTTCCCTATTCATGAGATTGATACTGTCAGATCGGATTGCATTGTGCTTAATAATGATCATGGCAGCTCCTTTTCTTTTCCTACATATCAATATAATAGAAATTGGGAACCAGCAGATTGGTTGCACGAACGATTGATGGCTTTTAATGAAGAGTATCGATATCGGTATGTTTAAAGTACTTCTTAAATTATGACGATCAAAAGAATTAAAAACTTCTTGTATCGTTTTTAGTTTTGAGCAAAACGAGTTGAACCGTCGGAGGGAGGCGGAACGGCAAAGTCTACTGGAATTTCTGACTGAAGAAGAGGCTCAATATCAACAAGATAAATATGGAAACGATATTAATCGAGTATTGGATGGCATACGATCAGCATCGCCACGCTTTATTGCAGAATTTCGTTTGTCTGCTTCTCAGATAGCCAACGATAATTTACTAGATGAAACATGCACTATTTGTCGTGAAGACTACCATGTAAAGCAACGCTTTGCTCAGTGGCCTTGCCCAGCTCATCACATGTTTCATTTCGATTGTATGCTAGATACTTTACGAGCAGGAGATACGTGCCCATTATGTCGATATCCAGTTGCAGCACCGAATCTAAACAGTATAGAACGTGCTTTTCGATCCGTATTAGGAAGAGTAACTCCTAATATATTCGATTAAAATAACAACATATTCATAGTTTGCGTTCCAACTAGTGCAATATTGCAGGCCATCATAGTTGGAATGAAAAGCCATATAGACAAGTCGACTTTAAACTTGTGTTCATTATTGTACATGAAACAGAGAAAGCTTTTGTGCATTTGTATTAAATAGTATGTGTATCATTCGGTTGCAAAATTATTTTCCAGTAGTGAATTTTTTAATGAAACATTTTCTACCAGTGATTGATCAAATAAAAAATATACTAAATTATACTTTTACTTTGCAACACTGATTTTTGTATGGTAACAATCTAGACTGGCTTATCTAACTAGAGAAACCTGGCAAGAGTAGTGAAACACATGAATACAACGAAAGAATACCTGCAGTGAAATAAACGAAAGAAAAAAGACTTATGCCGTAGGGTCGAGAGTGAAGAACAGGAATGAGTGCGTAACAAATCTAGAATAAGATAGTGATCTATGACTAAAGGTATTGAATTTTTATTTTAAACTGAGATTTCAATTTTGATTTCGATTTTGGATCATCACTCTATTTTGAAGATCACGTGGGAGTACATAAATAGAGATGAATTCATTGCTATCAAAACGAAAAGCATTGAAGTATTTTAATTGTTAACAGAATGTAAAGGTATGTGCCAGAGTCGGCCAGAGTTGTGTTTCGTGTATGACTGTTTAGCTTTGAATGTGAATGTAGATGACAGTGAGATTCTTATTTCCTACGTACAACGGACCATGAAGTGTTTAGATAAGTATGGAAATCTTTAGCAGGTTTTTTGTTTTTATTACACTTCCACCAGTAATGTTTTTTTCTTTGGCACATATAATAATAGAAATAAAAATTATTCCTGCCTGACAATGCTTGTTAAATGCCTATATTTGTCTTTTTAATTAATTCGAGAGAAAGAAGAAAAAGCAACTGAACACCTCTAATGGTCTGTTCGAAACTAAATCATTAGACTTTGATGATTGTAATGATCGGCCACAGAGAGATTGAAATGTCAATCTTAAAAAAGAACCACAGTATGGTTCAATCGAGTTTCTTCTCCATCTTGAAGATTCCATGTAGAATAATACTATCCCGTATTGCATTCTTAAGCCAACATATAGACAGACAGTCCTTTACTATCACTCAACTCTATCAGGGAATATCCGTAACTGTGACGATGATTTAACTACTTCTGCAAAGACTTGTCTTTGATCAACAACAAGTTAGATTGGAGAGTAAACTTGATTAAGAGAATCACCAAGTCCGTTTCTCATCAATAGCAAGGATTTCACTATATTTGATCACAAACAATGATATTGCCCATGCGTTAGTAGAATAACACATCGGTGAGTTAACTCAATTGATTCGACCGGTTTTTGGAGTCATGGATACAATTAGATCTTTGGTAGCATAGAGCCTGACAGGATGGAGTAAATGATTTAACATGTACTGAAAGAATGAGAGCAATCAAAATATAAGTTGATTATCATCTGTCTAACATTACTATGAAAACTTATTCTTGTGTAAGGAGAACTCGTAAATCTTCTCAGAAATTATTGTAAAGTGGAGTTTATAATGCAGCATAAACGTTTAGACACAATCGATACTGCACATCCAAGGCGGAATGTACGGTAGCATTTACTGCAATGAAGTTTTAGCACGAATGACTGGATTATTGTAAACTCTAAGGTCGGAGGAATTGCTTGAAAAGCGCGATATGGCAATCGATAACAGATACTCATACTTGAAATTCAAGTAGCAAAGATAGTTTCTAAGAATGTTACGATCATCCACTTTTCATTCTAGTCTGGCTTCTGTATTTGATATAACACCTTCAAAAATCTGCTAACTGAGTAACATTACGAACTATATGGTCAAATCAGGCAACAGTAAAGTTAACATATCAACGCACATGTTTTCTTTGGTTTTCAATAATCTGTTTTATCATAGATATCACTTCTATTTCTTACTGTGTTAACTATTTCACCAATTATGACTTAAAAATATCCTTACCATGTGAAAAGAATTTGTTTTTGTCTGATAACACTAGTGGAGTATGAACATGGCTCATTGAAAAATATTGTTACAGAACGAAAAAGTATTCAAACCATATATTCTTCACTATCAAACAAACAATCATAAAATATTGATTTATCACTTTTCTCTGTAAGATCAGCTTCATTGGAAAATATGGCATGGAAAAAACAGGTAGACTAGTCTTTTTTTTGAATTTTCTTGAATCAGACATTTAAATCCGATTTGTACACGTTTATTTTGGTTACATTTCTAGTTCTTTTTTGTGTACTCAAAAAGTGAGTACACTAGATTCGGTCAGTGTGTCCGGCCGTTAACACGATAACTCTTGAAAGCCTCATCCGTTTGTCTTGAAATTTTGTACACAGAGTGATCTCAGTCGAGCTCGAAGATGATAAGGATCCGTCAAGAAATGGCTGAGTTATCGAAAAAATTGTCAATCCTTCAGGGGGGGGTTACAAGGATTTTTCAAAAAAAAATTGTTTTCTCAGAATTATTCAAAACATATATACTTCGACTCAGTTTTTGCAGTACACATAACAATCGGATGCGAATCCGATGTTTCCTCATTTATTTTATATTGATTTTGTCTCGTTCGATGAAGTTATAGTAGCGTATTGTACTCTAATATTGATATCTTGCGAAACCTTTTCCATTTTCGATCCCTGAAAAGGTTGTTAAAGGAACATGTTGAAATATTTAACCTTGAAAAGTGTTTTATCAAGCCTTTTATGGTATTTATGTCTTTTGAGGCTTTGCATTTATAAGCAAAGCCTATTAAAATTTAGTAAACTATCACAGTTTTTTACTTTTGCACACTCTTCTCTTCCTAAATATGCCTCGTGTTGGAATTTAACACATCCACTTCATTCACAACTACGTCTATAACTTCATAAAAGCAAGAAGAACTTCAACAATATCGACTGATTCATGCAATATAAGCATTTGTTCGAATTCAGTTTTCAAGCGGATTTATTTTCACTCGCAATTTCTGTTTATGAAGAAAATTTAATGCAATCATACACAAAAATGAATCAGAATGATATTTCCATTGAAAGAGAAGAGCTGATCCGTTTCTAATTGGTTACTTTTTCGTTTTTCTCTTAGATTGGTGGGTGGAAAAGGGTCCACACAACAAACCTTTGACTATAAAAAGCCGATAGCAATTTGCAGAAATATCGCTGTACTTCAAAACACTTTCAAAATGACGAAATTCATTTTGCTCTTGATTATTATGGTTGGTTTTGGGATGGTTGCTGCTGATCTGGATGTTGCACTACAATCATTCTTAACTTCGCTCTCCGGAAAAAGTTCTGTTAGAGTCAAGAACAATGCTGTCAAGGGCCTATTCAGTTTGTACAAGGCAGAATTAAATCATCGTCCAAAATCGGAATCTGAAGAAAATCTTCGTTTAAACTCATTCAATGAAACACTGAACGCTATTGTCTATCATCATCAACAAGGCGATGAAACATATAATCTCAGTCTCAATGAATTTTCAGATTGGACGCCGGATGAACTGGCAGGGTTACGCGGTGTTCAAATACCTGAAGAATCCATCAAAAATACAAGCCTCAAAAAAGGTCAGCGTTTATTGACGTGGAACGGGAAAGTAGCACAAGGTAGGGCAACTCCGCCGGCATCCTTTGACTATACCGAAAGAGTAGTCGCAGGAACAAGTGTACCAGTAGTAAGTATTGATTCTGTTTAAAATCATAACAATCGCATTTTCATGTTAAAGGTTTTACCTATTAAAAGTCAAGGGCAATGTGGATCATGCTACGCATTTGCTTTTATCACTTTGCTCGAATTTCTACATTCTTTACAAGCAAAGAGTAAAACAGCTCTGAGTGAACAGCAGATCGTTGACTGCTCAAGAATGGATAATGGTTGTGATGGGGGTTACTTTACTAATACATTCAATTATCTGAAGAGTAACACTTGGCAAGTAAATAGTGAAACATTTTATACTTATAAGGGCGTAGCCAGTCGATGTGCATTCAGGAGTGCAACAGGTGGTGGAACGCGATTCGGAACTCTTGCCTACGCTCGAGTTTCAGTAAATAATGCTGTCGCTATGCAACAAGCGCTGATTGACTATGGTCCTCTCTGGGTGTCGCTGTTTGTTGGCGACAATACGGCATCAGGCAGGCAGACCTCCTTGGCATTTAACGCTTACAGAAGTGGTATTTTTCAGGCAGCTGGATGTCCGACATCAGTAACGTCGACTAACCATGCTGTTGTAATTGTTGGATACGGAGTTGATACTGCAACAAACATTCCATATTGGAAAGTGCGCAATAGTTGGGGAACCAGCTGGGGTGATAGTGGCTATTTTCGAATTCGACGCGGTGTCAACATGTGTGGCATTGAATCCGGCCCATTCTACATTGGAAACGCAGGCTAAATTGTTCAAAGAGTTATATCTGTATTAATAGCATAAATTGTGCTTGCAGTTTTCTCTTCATAATCATTATAAACATTCTTAATACTAATTCTCACATTACCATACTTCAATAAACATGACTAAATGAATTTCAATGAGTTCTGCAGTAGTTTACTATATATATATATAAAAGGTTTCATTCGTAAATAAGGAAAACCTCAAACGATATCACCATCGTAAACGAAATCGTTATTTTAGATCTTCTCAGACGTTGAAAATCGAAAAATGTTCATAGAACAGCTCTTGAAATTTCACTACTAAACATCAAAATCAAAGTAGACTTCATTATTAGAATTTCAATTCTGATCGAGCTAAAACGAAGTAGCCAAAAAACCCATCGAAATTCTCGATGTACAAGCAATTTTCAGAAAGTGTTGTTTTTCAATCTCTAATGGCAAAAGTAAATAGCCGCTAACGTTCTCTTTTGAGGAGCCCATATATCTTTCCTCAAATAAATGACTTAAACAAAAACAAATGGCATAAATTAAAGAGAAATATTCAGATTTATGGACGAAGTATGGGTGGCAAACTTATAATTGAAGGATAACTTCCAGAGTAGATGTAAATAGAGAATACTACATTGAATTGAGTAATGAGTCAGCGAATTAAATCGGTGCATAAATAGTAATATAGTTTTACATGACGTAGTTGTAGAAACACAAAGAGACGATGTAGAAAGCACAATAGAAAAAATCAGTAAGAAAGTATTTTGTGTACACATTTTAGAATTTCCAGTAGTGTCAAACTTGAAACTTGAAAATTGAAATTTTCATGAAATAGAAAACAAGTTTCGTGAGATCCCTACGGTATTCTATTTTAATAGATCTATTGATTCTGTTCTCGAGATTGAGTGTGCCAATTTCTGCCAACACACCCGATCATTCTTCACAATTTATTTAAAACACGTCAGTGAATGCGTAGGCAATCTTAAGCATCATTTCATAAATACAGATAACTGTGTAAATAATGCATCGGATATGTCTCGAGCGATACGGACAGAGAGCATAGACTTATTGGGCTCAGAAAAAACAATTGCATTCTAACTGAGGATGGTCTTCGGAAATGTCATCGTGCCACATGAATGAACATCTCTCAAATCTTTCATCGTGCCAATTATTTCTATTACAGGTTTAAGCAAACGTAATCCTTCTGTGCATCTTCCTCAAGACTTTATCTAGAGATTCAGTGATTGAAAATAAGCAACACAATTCAAATGACATCATGAATTTAAATAAACTCAACAACGCTGAAAGTATGTAACAACGGTTCATTTGCAGAAAAAAGTGAAAGATCATCATACCTTTGAGCATAGAAAACTTAGCAAACTCGTTGAAAAACAGATTTTATCTTTTCATCTCAATGGAATCGATGCTGATCGACAAGTTTTCTCTCTTTTCGTGAAAACTTATAATATTTACAGATGCCTGATGGCATTCCTTCGTACGGGAAGCCAAAAGAAACAGAAATTTTAATGAACGATTTGTCAAGAAAGAATAAATTTAGTCACTCTTCTCTTTCTCTATTCGTATCTTTCAATAATATATGATGTAGAGAAGTCAGAAAAATATATTTCATTTTCTAGAATGGCCAATAGTCGATCATTCGTTTGTTTTCTTTATCATAAGTTGATAACAAACAGTAAAGATCAAGTGTACAAATGAATTTTTGATTTTGATTTTTCTCTGAAATTTTCAATTTTATATTAACATATCCAGATACCAATTGATAAACAAAGAAAAATTACACATGCAACAGCATCTGTTTAAAGAGAGAAACAATAGAATTAACAACAGATATAGAAAAAAAATGCGACGACATGAATTTTACGACCGAATAAATCTTTGAATTTGTTTTTTCTGTACTGACTGATTTAAGATTATACATTGACTGATTTGTGTATTTTTTTCTCGTTTCAATCCGTTCTACATGCAATTCATACAATTTGATTGATTTGATTGTCTGTTACCTTGCGATAGACCCGGCGAGATTCCCGATGTACCTTCAGTAGAATTTACCGGAGTCTTTTTAAGTATTAGTCTTGCCATTTCGAAAAACGCTTTTTCAACATTAACATTATTTTTTGCAGATGTTTCAAGAAATGGTATTGCATGTTCTCGTGCTAGCGCTTCACCACGTGCTCGTGTAATACAACGTTTATCGTCCATGTCGCACTTATTACCGACAAGCATTTTAACGACATCGTCCGACGCGTGATCATCGATATTACGTAGCCATTTGTTTATATTTTCAAAGGATCTGGCTTGCGTCACATCATAAACAAGCATGATTCCTGTTGCCCCACGATAGTAAGATGCTAAAAATTAGAATTTTTTAATTCTTTCCAAATCTTATCTTACGAACAAATAAATTAATCTTACTAGTTATAGTATGAAATCTTTCTTGACCGGCAGTATCCCTAAATAATACCAAGAAAAAAATTAGAATTAATGAAACTCAAGTTAGACAACTGTATGTTGGTCATCTTTTTCTACTTGTATCAATCACAGGAAGTGAATTGTAGTGATCACTCAATTCTAATCTATTACAAGTTTTAGATTATGTCTGCTGAAATAAGAAGAGATTACATCGCACGTACTAGAATTCAATGATTTAGAAGACAGGTAACGATGATTATCTTTACAAGTGCATGCAGAGATTACTTCCCCTGAGGCACATGTTATATATAGAATTAGAAGACAGTATTATCTATTATTTTAATACGTATTTATTGTCATCAATTTAATGCAGCTCAACTCTTACCATATCTGTAATTTTATCTTGCGTCCATCAAGCTCAATTGTTTTTATTTTAAAATCAATTCCAATCGTAGAGATAAACGACGCATTAAATGAATCATCAGAAAATCGAAATAAAATACAAGTCTGTAAAAATAATGATACAGGAAAAATGAAGTAGTTCAATTGTATTTATTATATATAAATGACTTACTTTTCCTACGCCACTATCGCCGATCAATAATAATTTGAATAGGAGATCATAATTTTTTTTGGCCATTCTTGGGCCGATGTTCTACAAATATAAAATCAATCGTGCGTCAATATATCTATCGAGAATAACATATTAAAATAATCTAGATACCATATCTAATATTTTTAAGGAAAAGGATGATTAAATCCGTAATATCGATCAACAATATCAATGAAAACTACCTTCAGACTAATGTCGACAATCGATGAACTATCACGTTTGAGCGACTGATGTCGACGAGATGTAGATGACGAACGTTCATGTAACCAATATTGTGCGAATTCACTCGTTCGTTTCAATGAGAAACATCGACGATGATGATGATAAGAATGAGGATGGTGATGGCGACCAGACATAGAACAGCTGACAACTCTCGTTCAATCTCTACAAGTGGCTAAGTGCAACTGCTGACACTCATCAGGTGTCGAAAGATAGAGAGAGAGAGAGAGAGAGAGAAGGGAAACTCCATGCTATTCTTAACCTCGCCGCCAACGACAGCAATAGAATAGAACCGACCAGCATTTCTTTTCTCGCGCTTGCGCTCGTTCTCTTTCATTTCATTTGCATGTGTTGTACAGCTACGAGTATGCATCTATTAGAAACTAGAAAAAGAAGAAAGAAAAAAGAACGATTGAGTAGACGAGAGGCGAGTGACAACTGTAGAATATGTATTCATTCCATGTTTCAAGGCAATCTAACGAATGTCCCCTTAGATATAAGATTTGATCAATGATCAACATCTGACATAATGCGCACGTTCAGTTTACTATTAAAAGAAACGATAAAGACAATAATAATTTTGTTATAATCTATTTTTCTTTGCTTCGTGTGCATTGATGTAACTCACACAAACAATAAAATAGTACAAGGAAATACATTAAATCAAACTAGGAGAGAAAAAACAAATAGATAGCAATGTGTATTGGATAGGAAATTCGAATATTTTTCGTGTTGACTATAGTATCCGTCTATATTCTGGGCAAAAAGAAAAAAGAATAATGAAAGCTAAAAAAGAAAACAGGATTGATTCAAGCAAAATGAAGAAAGTGAACATCAACAAGAAAAATAAAAGATGGAACATGATGCTCAATAACTTCTTTTTCGTTCTTGCTAAGTCTAATTAGATCTGTTTTTTTTCTTTATATATCGAGAAAGATCGAACGTGAATCCTCGACGTATTGCTTAATTTTTCGGAGGAATAGTACTGCGTCGCGGCCATCCAATATACGATGATCATAAGTAAGTGCCACATACATCATTGGACGGATCTCAATCTAATTGAGAAAAGAAAAGAATATTAATAAAAACAAACAAAGAGCCCAAACTATATCCTACTTTGCCATTTATAGCTACGGGTCGGTCAAATATTCCATGCATACCAAGAATAGCGGATTGTGGTGGATTGATAATAGGAGTACCGAACAATGAGCCAAATACTCCTCCATTGCTAATTGTAAATGTGCCACCGTCCATATCTTCAATGGCAAGCGTGCCTTTCTTTGCCTATGCAACAGATCGATACAAATCGCCGTCATGATAAAAAACAGTTTTATTTATTTACTTTTTCACCATATTCACTAATTGTTCGTTCAATATCAGCATAGTTCATTTTCTCAACATTACGAAGTACTGGTACAACCAAACCCTAAGCAAATAATTTTAGTTTTTCTTGATTTATTTATTGTTATCGAAAAATACTTTTGGTGAAGCAACAGCAACACTGATATCAACATAATCTCGATAGACAGTTTCATTGCCGTCAATAACTAAAATTTTCCAAGTAAAACATAAAATAAAAATCATCATGTAATACAGAACAAGAAGTTTTATACCTGCATTAACAATAGGATTATCAACAAGTGCACACGCTGATGCTTTAACAAAAGCTGACATAAATCCTAATTTCATGTTATGACGTTTAAGAAATTGATCGGCATATTTTTTACGAAACTCGACCATGTTACTAGAAATAATTCAAATATATATAATTTCCGATTCAATTGCTATTAGTTTTTATTCAAACCTCATGTCAATTTCATTGAACGTGGTTAACATAGCACATGTATTTTGAGCTTCTTTAAGACGTTCAGCAATTTTCAAGCGCATTCTTGACATTTTAACTCTTGTTTCCGATCGTGTACCAGTAATTTTATGTGGATCAATTCCAGTAGCAGTTTGCACTTGTTTAGCGGGCGTCACTGAGATTTGTGATGTTGGTGTTTCACGTTGTGGACCTTTTGGTACAGTTGGCACTGAAGGTGTCGTACGTGGAGCTGGACCACTCGAAGAAGCTGATGCTTTCGATGGTTCCTCTTTAGTTTTAGCAGCATCGGTAGTCTCTGCTGGTTTACCTTGTTTTAATAAGAAAGAGAAAAGCAAATAATTCTAAGTCAACATTTAAGTTTTTGTTGTTTAGATGCTGCTAAGAAATATTATGGGAGGAGATAAGTCACAGTGAGACTGAGAAACCTTTCCTTCAATGATTATCAAATCTATCAGTACATATAGACGATGTAGCAAGTCCAAGCTAGGAACAATGAAAATTCGGAGAAGTTCATATTTTAGTAAATTTACCTGATGTTGCAGGTTTAGCACCAACCCCGCTTGTGTCAATTACAGCTATTTGAGCACCGGATATCACACTGTCTCCATCTTTCACGATTAACGATGTAATGACACCTGCCGTTGGTGCATTGACACTCACATTTGCTTTATCAGTTTCAATTTCAGCTATTGCTTCATCGACAGCTACTGCATCGCCAACTTTTTTTAAAAACCGAATTCCACCGTCTTTGACCGATTCAGCAAATGACGGTATTACGACATTTACCAATTCGACTACAAAAAAAATAATCACACATAATGCAAATTGACAAAAATACATACAACGAATTGAACTTGTATGAAGGCATCGTGTCAAGGCGTAGAGACTACCATACGATGATTCAACGATAAGTGTTTGATCGGAAAGCGACTGTAGAAAACAGAAGAAAACGTTATCCTGTTGATTCGTCCGATATAGTTAAAACATCTTTTTTCTTTCAGTGTGTTTTCTTCTTGACGAAAAGAAAAGATTTCCCAATGATATTCATACTGTTAGAAAATGACGAGTCATTTAATATGTATTGACATCTGATTTTTCTATTTCTCTAAATTTTGTTTGAACCTATTTTGTAGGCTAAGCACCCGTGTCTTACTCGCTTTGTAAAAGAATTGTTTTGTGTTGAAAAAATTCCAGTCGGCGATAGTGGAAGAGTCGAAAATGAACATTGTTGTTGATGAAAATTCGGTCGATTTGGGTACGTTGTACATTTTGTTACAGTAGCAACAGCTAATCTCGTTGTCGAATTAGACCGTAGTGCGCGTAATGATGCACTACGCAATGAGACAATATGCGACATACCTATCTAAAGTAACAACACCAAAATAAATATATATATATATATATATATACATAAAGAAAGAGAGAGAGAGATTTGTTCGATTGACATAGAATAACACACAATACGGGAATAAAATGATTAGAATAATAAATATAATTGCACTTATTCACCACGATATGTAACGATATTTTTTTCTGTCTCATATAATTTTATTTCATATAATTGCACATGATTATTATATTGTTTTTGAATTCTTGAACACAATTGTTCCCATATGAAAACACTCAAATTCTCTGTAGTACTAACAATATTTTTTGTACGAAAATATTCCACATCTAAATCAAGGTGTTTGTGGTCGAGTATTGTTAGTACATAGATCTGAATTAGCTCTTTGAGATCACTTATATTCATAACCATGCCTGTGTTATCATCGATATGACCAATAACAGTTACTTCAAGTACATAATTATGACCGTGCCCATTTGGATTATTACATTTATTAAATATCTGAATATTATCATTATCAGACAATAGTGTAGAATGAAGTCGATGTGATGCAGAAAATGTCTCTCGTCGTGTTAAATAAACTTTCGGTGAACGAGACATGAAATTTTTATCTAAAATAAAGATTTATTAAAATTTACTTTATCTCCCACTTGCCCCAAAAAAAATAATAAATAAATAAAATTAATACGAAGCTACTTTGAACACCAATCACGATACACATATGATGATCCAATTGAATTGATTCCATATTTTACCGATTTCGATCCAACAACGAAAGCTTTCAAACCACAACTCATCATTTCTTTTTACAAACGAAACAACAATCAATGTGAAAAAGCTACAGACTTAACCTAGCCTTCTTATTGTAGTAAGTCTCATGAAATTCTCAGATAAACATCTTTCAAGATAGTAAAACTAGCCAAAGATACGAAATCAATTATTAATATTTGACTACACAGAATTTCATGGATTATCAAAAATATGATCTCGACAAACGAGCAGAAAAATGAGTTTAAAGAGCAGCTGTAGCATTTTCAAGAATCTCAAGCGGCATTGTTTTAGCTGTCTACTTTGATGGAGTTTTGTTTGTATAAAAATTTGAAGTCTGTTTTGATTTTGATTATCATCATTATTTAATCGGAATCAATAAAATATAGAATGAATTCAATTGAACAATTACAAGTAGTTTCAGATTGTCGTTCGTAGTAGCTTTAAAATAAAATCGTTGTGTGTATATATAAATATATCTTATTGCAATTATGATTCCATTAAATATCTTGAAAATAAATTTAATATAATCACAGCAAAAGTGCTGAAATTATTTATTGACTTGGATTTATACGAATATTATCAATGGACCATTCGTCTGTGATTGTCCACGCCTGTTCACCGGCAATAAATGTTGATAATACATTGAGTTTATCATCAAGAAAAATAAAATCAGCATCCGCACCATAGGATAATGTTCCCTTTTGTTTTTCAATACGAAGTACTGAAAATATAGATAAACGAAATTTTCTTTTCGAAATAAACCGTTGATCTTAGCATAGTTTCTATCATTGTGACTAACTAAGATCTTAGTCATACATCCTTGTAATATTTTATTGGTATTTGTTTTATGAATTCTTTATAAAATACCTTATTTTTACCACATACTTCAAACGGAGAGCCAAGGATGAAAAATTGTTTTTTTTCGCAGGCTTTTGAGTGCATATTGCACAAGAGTATAGAAACGTCTGAATTCATAAACAATAGAGTTCATTTTCTGGCCAGTCGCTATGACATCCAGTTTGGATATAATCGTTGAAGATATTATTGACATTAAAGCGGACAGTGACTAGCGAAAATCTCAGTAGACGGTGGGAGTTTTTTCAAGCGTAACTATTCATAGCTTTCACAATGCTATTGATAAAAAAATGTCCTTTGCGTAATTAGTTTGATTTTCCCCCTAAAATCGAAAGAGAACAAGCGGAAATAAGGATTCTTGTTATCTTCTAAGAAGTACTTGTTTTTTTGTGCTAGTGAGTTGATAATTTCGAAGCATACACGCAACAATAAACACGGATCATTTATACGCCTTCTTTCTTCCAAGAAAAACATATTATTGAAGTTCGTGATAAGTAATCAAGATTTTACTGATTAACATATTCTGCGCTAGTCACAGCGCTAACTTTATCACAAAGAAAGATCCATCTTACTGCTACTGTTCAAGAAATATTCCGATCGAAAGCGCGCTATGACGAACTAAATTATTATTTACTGAATGACATTTTTCTATCTAGATATTTACCTGAAGCAGGATGAAGAGTTGCTGCTTCAATTGAATCGACAATAAATTTATCTTTATCGTTTTCACTTAAATTTTTCACATTACATTTATTTGTTTCTCCATCAAGTAAAGCTTGCCTCATATTTTGAACGCATTCAGTCATTGATGCAATACTACCACATAATGTTTCTGTGCCGGCTATTGTTGCACGTTTATTTTTCACGGCTATTTCCTGAGGACCCAAACGATGGATGCCTTCAGGCAATCCTAACGCGTCAAGAGCATCTGTCACAAGTACAAGGCCTTGTGGATGAACACGATGAGCAAGACGGATAGTAGCGGAATGTGTATGTATTCCATCAGCAATCAGACCATAGTGGATAACAGTTGTTGCTGGAACACGATGACTTGTTAAAAGACCTTTTTTTGTACAATTAAAATTTATTATGAGATATTTAAGTTATTATTATTATTTTTTTTCTTTTCCTGTTCATACCAAGAAGATTAGGATGGCGATGATGAAATCCAAGCATTGCATTAAATAAATGTGTAATAAATCGAACACCAGAACAAACAGCACGTTCGCCTTCGTCGAGTGAAGCGACTGAATGACCAATTGAAACAACTAAACCATATCTGTCAACGAGCTCAGGTATAACTTTTTCGATCATATTAGGAATTTCAGGTGCAAGAGTAACAATTGAAACGTTATCAAATGAACCATAGCAGGCTAATAGATCTTCAGTACCATGCGGAGCTTTAAGAAGACATTCGGTTCGATGTGCACCATGTTTCTCTTTATCTATAAATGGGCCTTCGAGATGCATGCCTAATTAATATATATTTTATTTTACTTTCTAAAAATGTTTCAATTTTATAAACTAACCAAGAATAGCTGCTCCGTCCTTAGCTGAGCCCGCTCGTCGTTTATATTTTGGTAATATTGTTTTATATGCATCGGCATTTGAACTGACAATAGTTGGTAGAAAAGCTGTTACACCATGTGATGCTAATTTTCTTGCAACATCGATTAAGATTGCTTCACTTGCTGTATCAGGTGATGAAAAATCGTGTCCAAAAGCTCCATTAATCTGTAAATCTATGTATCCAGGTGCTATTAAAATTCCTTGACAATCATACTCAATATCTGCTAGAATTTTTTCATCGAAAAATATTTTTTCAGGATCCGCAATTTTTCCATTACGAATCCACAGATCATCGATAATGAGCGCGTGATTCCGCAACAATTTACAATTACGAAAGCGATATAGAGTCATTGTGAAGTAAATATTGTTTCAAAGTTCACCGCAATAATGTCATCGTGTTGGTTCGAAAAATGGAGTACGTTAAAAAAAATATTCTGTTGTTGAGTAGAGAGGCAGCCATTTTCCCCTTCTTTTGATCATTTTCACATGACCAATAAATGATATCTATTGAAATTAGCTTACTAAAGAGGTCGCTTTTTTCGTAGTAGGCTGAAGCGAACAGATGTGATTTTTAATGAAGTTTTCACTTGCACAACAAGATGATATTGATTTATAAATGAAAAAAAAAGAGATTGAATGTTATTCACTGTTTGAAAAAGATTCAAAACGATATAACAGCCTTGCTCTAAAATAGTAATGCTAGTCTTTACGTTTATAGTTATTTTTATAGGTATACTTTCTTGTTCTTAGTTTATGCACAAATTGTGTTTTCTAATAATGAAAAGATAGGACATTAAGTGAGGGGGGGGGGGGGTGGGTCCGTGTCAACAATTACTAGATGAAATAAATTCGCATAGGACAGAATATAATGTGAATTCAAAACTTTTCTCTCTTTGCAGAAAAGCAACCATTTATACAATCAGCTGTACAGTAACAGCACAGACACAGAATTATTATTTACTGATACAGACTTTTCACCTTAATCAATGTCAGAAGAAACTTAACTAGAATGTGAAATTTATCACGTTTGTATAAAACCAAACATATTTTTGCATTTTTTTCGTTTTCGAAAATGGATAGAATTTATTCTCAGATGAAAGTTTCTTGAAAAATCAACGGGTTCGTTGAGAGTGATTCTAGATGATATTAATCATAAAAATGAAACGTTTTCTTCTGAGAATTCTTTCTCTAATATTCTAACTCGGTTGATTGTTCAAACGAATTAAAATTCCATTTTCCCTTGCAATCTTAGCACGATATTGATTATAATTTAACAGTTTAATTGTCGTTATTACTGCAGATTTATTTTTCGACTTACAAAACAAAAATAACGCTGCAGCTGATTGAAATAAACCGAAAGAACTTTTTTTTGTTTAACACTGATCATTCATTAGATGAAATTTCAAGCATGAAAAAAATATTCTGCAACAAACTAGTTGTTTGAAATTTTAAATACAACTAGATGGTCTTCGAGTTTCACTAAATGGAATCGGCTATAGTGTGTTCAAGCAAAAAATTCAATAGGAGAAATCGGACAAAATCTGTATCATATAGAGATCGTAATGTTACTAAAACCGTATCAGCGATCATCAGGCGAAATTCCACTCTTCAGATCATCTCGTCACAAAAATGCTGACTTGGGATGCGCACACGACGAACTACAAAATGCTCTGCTTCGCAACGCATTAAATTTAGTTTCATTTAAATTATTACGTCGAAAACACTGGACATAATGTATCACAACATACAACAAGAATCGATACAGAATTTATTGGATTCAGTCAATTTTTAGGCTCAAAATACTGTTATTTTAGCTCTCGATGGTGATGCTGATTTTAAACCCGAAGCTGTTCTTTTATTAGTTGATCGTATGCGTAAAAATCCAAAAGTAGCAGTTTTTCTTGTGGTCGAATTCATCCGACGGGTGATGGTAAAAATGATCAATAATTTGATTTTTTCGATTTGAAATCAATTTATATCATGTTTCATTCTAGGACCTATTGTGAGGTAGTGTTCTTTGATGTCCCGGTTGTGTGGTTCATCATTAATGGACGATAATGTTATGCGACGCTATACAGATAAATCAACTGAAGCATCACATTATGTACAATATGATCAAGGTAAAAATTTCTAAAATAATCCAGGAGAAGATCGCTGGTTAACAACACTTCTTCTTCAACAAGGCTATCGTGTTGAATATTGTGCAGCATCGGATGCTTTTACACATGCATCAGAAACATTTAAAGAATTCTTTAATCAACGTCGTCGATGGATGCCTTCAACTATGGCAAAAGATACAAAACATACAACATATGTGAATGAAAATATTTCGAAAGTATGTATGTTTTATCAAGCAGTTCTATTTCTATTGACTATTGCTGAATCATATACAATATCAATTTTACCAGCACTTTTTTATGTACTTGTATCTCTGAAAACAAAATCGAATACACGAATTGCTATTGATGCAATTATGACTGGTAAAATTATGTTTTTGATTTTGTTTTAGTCTAAATGTTTTAATAAATTTCAGCTATCTATGCGTTGGTTATGTCAATAGTACTTGTAGCAACAACTGCTCAAATTCTTAAATCAGGTTTCTTAGATCCAAGTGCTGTTTTTCTACCGAGTGTTGCTATAACATTTACTGTTACTGGTTTACTTCATCCAAATGAAATGTTTAATTTAATACATGGTTTTCTTTATCTTGTAACAATTCCTGGTGGATATCTTTTGCTTGTTACTTAGGCTCTATGTAATTTACATGTTGTTTCATGGGGTAAAAGATAAACAGTTGAAATTTTTTAAAATAAATTATTATATCAGGTAATCGAAAATGGTTTATTTAGTGATTTGATTTTAGTTTTCTCTTCAAAAATCTTTAGATACGAGAAAACGTCGAAAAGTCGATGTTCTTAATGACATGCTTTGGGGTAATAATAGTGATGGACAACGTGAATTTATTCATTGAATGGGAGATGTTATTGAAAATGTTTTTCGACCAACATCAAAACGACAAGAAACATTATTACAAGAAATTATTAATAAACTTGATCGAGAAAATTGCAGCCTTGAAGCAAAAAAACTAAATGGTAGGAGCTATTTGAAAAATAAAAGATTTTATTTGTAAATAGAAATATGTAGCTTACTATTCCAAGTGCAATGGTAATTATTCAGATAATACAACATCAATATGTAATAAATCTCGTAATCGTATGATTGCTTAATTACTTTTTGCTTCTTGTATGGTTATACAATTTACTACAATGCTTTTACATCGCTGGGGAACATTTATTGAAGTTTTGACTAGTACAAAATTCTTTGAAAAACATCGAAAATATAAATTAAAACCCGGCTTCGGTATAGCTGGAATGACAAGTCAAGAAGTCGCTGAAGTCTTATGAGAATTAGATATTCAATTAGTTGTACATCCAGTTACAGCGTAACCAAAACAAAATGCAGCATTTCAAATGGAACCTGTTATTAATAAAAGAAAATGAAACTTGTAATCCAGATTATGATGGAACAGATGACCTTGAAGATGTCTATATTGAACCACCTATTGATTATTTCGATTATCCTGTTGTGAAAGAAGCCTCTGATGCAAGTCGCCTCCGAGTGACATAATCGATAGATCTGTTCTCTTGCTTTTTCTTTTTACTAACTATTTTACAACTTTTATTTTGTATCGTTTTTTTTCTCCTTTATTTCTGTTCTAACTATGAACGATTTGATGGCCAGTTAAAAAGGAGTCATCACTGAAATATAAGTGATGAGCATCATTATCTTGTACTATTTAGATATCGATATCTATACCAATAACCTTGTCTAAGTATTATTTATTCTTCGGGTTTCTTTTTCTTTTACACATAACTACATTGAATTGTAGGATGTGGGTGTGGCGATAATTCAAGGCATGGAGTAAATGGAACACAGCACACTTCGTCTAACACCCACACCTTTCAGTCAACTTACAAATATTCTCATCAAACAGCATTGAGGATCAAAAAATGGAGCGGAGGGGGGGGGGGCGGTTGATTTTATAGTTTTTTTCTTCAAGGGGCTCCCCTCCCCGCAGCAATCGTTTTTTGTTTTTCGTGGGGTGATTTGACTGAAATTTTCAGGGAATAGGCGTGTTGCATTAACTTAATCGCTTGCAAATTTTCGATTCATAAGATTTTTATTTTAACGAGTTATTGACAAATTAGTCCCCAAAAACAGTGGTCTTCGTAAGGTACCGATTTATCGGACTGTCAAAGAGGTAGAATGTTTACTACTGCTCCCAGAAAAGCGCTATTTTCATCACCAATAACTATTCAAAGTGCAATAAATCGCACATAGTATGAAAGAGAACACTTTGGGCTTTCCATGCATGTGCTTGTTGGGAAATCACTTTTCTGAGGAAAGAGTCCCTTAAGTATTAATGTTGTCATTCTGTTTTCTTTTTCGATCAAGTCTAAAGAGCAACCAAATGGCAAGGGTAATAGACAGTGTGAAATATAGAAAGCGTCGGCTAGCGAAAGACGAGAAGAAAGGAAAAATACCTAGCGACAATAAGTTATTATTTTACTTACAGCACATTGTCAATGGGCACATGAGAAGAAGTCGAAATAAAAGCGAGCGCAAAAAAAGTAGATGCTCTCAATCATGGCCAAATTTTTTGTTTTGCCATTACATTACGTCAACTCTATGTATTGAAAATGTGCCGGCTAATTTTCTTTGCAATCGTATCAGGTCAACTTTACGCTAGGGAAATGTATTGATCGATGTATGTATTGTTTCGTTTTCTACTTTCATTTTAGAATTACATTAATCAATGGTGTTAGATTTTGGCTTTGGTTTTGTTTCTGGCGTAACCGGTACAATTGCTGGCTATCCATTCGATACAGTTAAGGTTCGTCTACAAACGCAAACACTAAATCATCGATTATATTCGGGTTCATTAGATTGCTTTATCAAAATAGCAAAACAAGAATCAATATTAGGCTTTTACAAAGGCATGGCATCACCAATGTTTGGTGTTGCAATTATAAATGGGATTGTTTTTTCCATACAAAATATTTCAAAAGGATTATTTGATAATCCAGATACATATTTTTCATTAGCAGTAACGGGTGCTATTGCTGGTTGTGTACAATCATTTATTTGTTCACCAATTGAACTTGTTAAAACACGCTTACAAATGCAAGGCATTGGGCAACAAAGAAAACTATTTGCATTATCAACACATTTATATAAAGGTCCTATTGATTGCATAAAAAAATCTTATATTCGACAAGGTTTTCAGTATGGTGTGATGCGTGGCTTATCAATGACACTTGCACGTGATATTCCATTGTTTGCTGCTTACTTTCCAGCATGGCAATTCTTTGTTTTATATTTTTCGCCAATTGGTAAAGAAGCTGACATGTCTATGCATATGAGTTTAGTAGGAGGTGCTTTTACGGGCATTGCTGCTTGGGCTGTATCATATCCATTTGATGTCATTAAAAGTCGATATCAAGCAGCAAGAGATCATGCATATAAAAATGTATGGGATTGTGCAGTTAGATCATTCCGTATGGAAGGATGGCAAGTATTTACACGAGGATTTTTACCGTGTACACTTCTTGCTATTCCAACAAATGCGTTTACCTATCCTGTGTATTCTTTTTTAAAACAAACATTTGACACAACACTCGATGATAATGATGAAACGTCGATACCAGCAAAAGTTGCCACTCAATCGAAACCAATGTCTACCACTAAAACTTTAATTCCAGCTAGTGCTTCGATTCAATCAATTTAATTTAAATTTCTTTTTTATTGTTGATTAGAATTACAAAAATATCGATGCAAT